ATTTCTGCATAAGATTCATATTTGGTTTACGGAAATATGATCATGTATCTGAATTTCGCACTAAACTCAAGTGGTTACCAATTCGCCTTCGCCGCAATACTCATGTCCTTTCATTACTATACTGTACTCTCTTTAACCCCCATGCCCCCATATATCTCAAAGAACGTTTCGAGTTCCTACGTGATACGCATAATTTTTCCCTGAGATCATCGGATAGCCTGAGACTGAAAATGCCGGCGCATTCATCATCATTCTTTGATCATTCATTCACCGTCCAGGCGGTTCGATTGTGGAATGCTCTGCCGGATGCAGTGAGAAGTGCTCAAACTTTAAACTGTTTTAAAAGAATGGTGAAGGAACACTACTTATCTTCTTAGTGCTGTTTGTTTGCATCATCATTTATTATTTCCATACTGTTGATGTATTATGTGTATGTAAGTATATTAGTATGTAAGTATGTATATTGGTATATAATAATAAGTATATATTTCATATTATATGTAAACAGTATATATTTTGTTATTATATGTATATATTTTCTATAATGTATTAACTATAGTACACCGCAACATACCTGCTATATTTTTTTATATTTTCCAGAATTTCTATAAATTATACGGTTGTCTGGAAGAGATCGCTTTTAGCGATAAGACCGCCTATTGTACAAATTTATCTGTTTTTTTATTGTTTTTTTGAATGTAAATTGTGTTTTGGTGTGCAATAAAGTGTATTCTCTCTCTCTCTCTCTCTAGTCTTAAAATTTCATATAATATATTGGCTTTGCATTAAGCGGAGTTTTGTCTTGCTAAAACCAAGAAAGAAATCAGATACGTAATTTTACTGTGAGCGTCCCAATGCGTAAGACGCCCGGTGAAATTGTTTACATGTGTGGTAAATCAAATCAAGAGAATTACTTACATATACTGGTAGTGAGACTGGTAGAATTTGATGTTTTTGTTGTTCTTTGTTTCCCTGCCTAATACTTTGTAGCCTAAGAAGCTAGACCACGTTCGTAGTCGTAGGTGAGCTCACAGGTTCTATCTGAGATAAGTTGCCAACACTGTCCCTAGCAAGAGCCGTGCTTCGCTGAATCAACCATCTAATCAGAATCGCGATCCAGCGAGAAAATTAATGGGTTGTGTCTATAAGAAAGGTTGATAGTCGTTTGTGTTTGAAGTTGTGCGTTTCGGTTTGAAGGGTGGGGCAGCCGCTGTAACTGTGCTTTAGACTAGTCTACTTGGAGTCGTCGTGGCCTAAAGGATAAGACGTCCGGTGCATTTGTGTTGAGCGATGCACCGGTATTCGAATCTCATCGCCCTGCCTATTTCTGCCGTGAAGCAGTAATGCGTTTCGGTTTGAAGGGTGGGACAGCCGTTGTAACTATGCTTTAGACCTTAGAACTTATATCTCAAGGCGGGTGGCGCATTTACGCTGTAGGTGTCTATGGGCTCCAGTAACCACTTAATACCAGGTGGGCTGTGAGATCGTCCACCCATCTAAGCAATAAAAAAAAAAAACCGCGAAGTAGGGCATTTCCCTCTATAGCCTCTTATGAGCCTCGGCAATGGACTCGGGCAGATATCTATTATATAAGGCCATCCAACCACCTGAGCTTAAGTTATTATGTATGAAAACCCGCTTTAATTTTTAATTACGTAATTCCTTTAGCATTGAGACATAGACTTCAAGTCTCAAGGTTGGTGACGTCATTCACGTTGTAGATGGGTTCTGGCAATCAATTGACACCGTGTGGGCCGTAAACTCATTCATTCGGTTATGTATATGTTATGGTCTGCTATTATTTAGTATACTGCTCATATTTTGAACTTGTAAATTAATAATAATATTAAAGTTTTGTTTGAGTATAAGTCCGTGGAACAAAGAAAAAATAATAATAATAAAAAAAAAAAAACAATTTTGTTTAACGGTCTCCATTGACGAATGTGTTCGATATAGGAAATCTTAGATGTTTACAAGCATTAGTAATTAACGTTGTTAGATATTTTATTGATAATTGTAGCCGTTGATTCGTTCTGTGCTAGCGTGGTAATCGTTTTTGATATTACCGACGAAAGCAGACATTCGGGCGTCGATTTACCGGATATCGCTATCAATTTGATCTTGTACAAATTTGTTCATTTGACAGCGGTGATTTTGATAGGTAAAGGCTCGCTTCATTCTCGAGTGAAGCAGGTAACTCTTCAGAGCCCTTTTAAGTTACACATCCATCCAAATATGTAAGCGATTTGATTACTCATATACCTTCATTTTTATGAATAAATTTTTAAAATCTGTGTGTTAAGGTATTAAGTTTTGATAATAGATTGTGAATTTGTGTGATTCTTGAAAATAATGTGTGAAGTTCACCATCTCCAAATCACACACACTTGTAATTTCTTTATATAACACCGGGTGTCGAGTATGTAGCCCTAAGATTAGTAAACAAAAATTAATCGCCAAAAATAACAATGCACGCCAGATTAAGGTATGGTAATTACTCAAATATTATGTGTATAATCTATGTTAATTACTATTTTAAAATTGTGTATTTAGAAAATCTTACGATTTGACGTGGGTGAAGCAAGAGAGTGGAAGGGTTACAAAGTGGCGAAAGAAGGTTTAACATTACCTACCGAGCGCGGATGATTTTTTTTCAATATTGAAGGACAATAATTCTCTATGAAATATAAAAATCGTCTATGAAGATGAGAGCGTGCAGTTGCATACATGCATACATATATGCGAGGTACGTCGAAACCCCGAAATTGGTCTCGGTACTTCTTTACACGGAACATCAAAACTCACCCTGTAGTTTTGTTCGGCGATCTCCTTGGCGCGCGTGTTCCCCTGGTGGTGCAGGCGCTGCTCCTCCTGGCGCCGCAGCCGCAGCGCCTCGCGGTGCGCGCGCTCCTCGGCCGCGAGCCGCCGGTAGCGCCGCACCGCGATCAGCCGCCGCACGTGGCTCTGGATCTTCACGATCGCCCACATCTTGTGGCCGTACGACCTCCGCACCAGGTAGCCGCGAGCCGCAGCCTAACAGTGTAATATCACATCTTTAAATTATCGAGTCTTGAAAATGTCCCATTTATTTACATTTTATATAATTTTAAGGCGACTCTCATCTCAATCTCAAATACCATGTGTTTATTGACGTTCTTAGTCTTTATAAGTTATAATAATATATATATACCCGTTATAATAAGGCTGTCAAAGGGTGTATAATTCATAATATAAATGAATAACGACATATGAAAATAATTGTTTTTTTGTGGCCATCTATTATTTTTCTTTGTACCTACATATTTTGTTTACAAAACATAAACTTCTTCTTATTTACACAAATCTTTTTTAAACTTCTTTTAATATTTTTTTAAGTTAAGTGTTAGTTCGAGAGACATATGAAATTTTCACACAATCGATTTTTTTTATGTCCATGTGTCCCGTGTCCTATGCTGCGTTGCACCTGTGTTACAAAATTTAAAAAAAGCTAGATTTCGGAACAGGATTCATTAAAACAACACTGCTTAAACAAAATTGTTTAGTGTGGTGTCGAAAATTTAGGCAACAACATGAAATTTTATTACATGCCTACATGTAATTAAAAGGGGGAGGTTAATTGGAAGTGTTGGTTTGAATAATTGAAAAATTACCTGTAGAGAGACAATATGGCCGCGCAAATGTCTGAATCTGTGTGCGAGGACTCTTGCTCGTATCAATGCCTGGAGTCTAGCGTACCCGACCTTCATCTTCTGGTACCTTATCCTCTGTAGTTTACCCCGCCAATGACGCTGAATGAGAACAGCTGCCGCTCTCATCTTCAAGAATCTTCTACGATAAACCCATCCTCGTATCGATCTTTGGAGTATTAATATCTTTCTCGTTAAAACTCGGTCTCTTTCTTGCTCCAAGAACAAATCGTGAGCGTCTTTAAGGAACACTTTGGTATGACCCAACTGATAATCGGATTTCCCTAATACTTGAGCACAAATTTTTGCAGTGGCTGATCGACAGTCCGTCTTGTGAGCAGGGGGTACCCCCGATATTAAAAATCTATATCTTTCGACAAATTCCTTAAAACTATGTCTTATCGGATAGCCGGCTCTCCGGATTCGAATAGTTTCCATCATTCCGGAGTATCTGAGCTGTCTGCAACAAAGGCCGCGATCGAAGAGCATTGGTTTTTTAAATTCATTCGGTTTGATACATCGAATGAAGAACGGCTGACAAGTCCCTAAAGTTCTCATCAACAAGTCTAATGATTTTTTGAACTGCGTTGACAACGTCGGTGTCCGTTTCCTTGTTTCAGACCCCATGACGATATCCTCTTGGAATATCTGCTGTAAGAATTTATTCGTCGATATGTGAATTAATTGCAGTAAGTCAGCACTAAATGTGTCTCGGTTCTTCTCTAAGAATCCCCGTGTGTCGTAAAAAACTATTCCAGCGAAATGGTTTAATCCGAAACTAGTATTAATGTCAGACTTTGGCTTAAGGTAATTTCTGTGGAGACCGTGCGTCTTATGAAGTTTAGCTAGCATAGTTTGGTCAGTCCCTTTAGGAAACTTAGATTCTTCGTCTATCAAAGCCATAATGTTTAGCTGTTTCAAAGCAATCAAGTCCAAAGCATCCTGATTGTCAACAAACTCGATGTGTTGCCAATTTATGCCTTCATGGTTATATTCTTCCTGTTCCAATTTGAAAATGTGTCTGACGAAAAACTGTTGCAGATTCTCGTTAGCGAAGTTAATGCAGAACTGTTCAAAACTGTTGTGATCAAAGTTCTCAAAACCAAAAATGTCAAGGACACCAATAGCAGTTCTTGTAGTTGACTTCGGTTTGTAAATGGCCGCGTTGATTTTCCTGACAATAGTTACGAATAGCCTACCGTAAATTCCTTTCACAAATGCATCTCTAATGTCAACAGACTGATCTCTGCTTAGTGTTGATATAACAGTTTCTCCGTGGGCAAATAGTGTTTTTCTAGTCAAAGCACGTATAAGAGATTGTAAGGGCACACCAAGTAAGTTGGCTACCTTTCTTACATTCGCTTCTTCTGTAATTTCAGTAGCGTCAAGGTTATCGACAACAGTCGCTTCGTACTTTATGTTTCCACAATGTAAGACTGCGGCCAATAGTTTTAGAATTTCCCATATTTCTGATTCTGTGAATAATAACACTTTCATTGCTGATCTAATATCTGCGAATTCTGCTGCGTCATCTCTGCCCTCGCACGAAAAACTCCCGCCCTGAAATAGAAATAGTAAAAAAATATCATAAACGAAAAATCGTGTCTAGGATCGATATCAGATCTAAACAAGAACGCGACGATATTATCAAAATATGTCAGATATAAGCAATCGAATAAATAAAATTTTAATGTAAAATAACAATCTCTTAATGTTATTGCTTTTGTTGATCTATGTGACTATCGAACATTAGATTGATAACTAGATATCAATATGTTTTGGTTAGAAAAAGGGTTATTTTCAAGACACTCACCGCAGACAGATATCTGTATTCTGAAGGGTCGCCTAGTTCCAATTTCTTCTTATCGTCTTTGGATAATCCAGCCAGTAAACAGTAAAACACGTGATAGTTCCTCTCCTCGGTGCCTTGGGATACAATCCTAGATTTCTCCAACAGATATTGTTCAATTTTAGCTCCCTCTATAACTCCAGAGCTATTGAAATGTATATCTATATATTTTCCGAATCGCGAAGAATTATCATTTCGAACTGTCTTCGCATTTCCAAAAGCTTCTAGAATTGGATTAGCTTCTAAAATCTGAAACGATAATATATTTATTGTTTCTTGTTAAACAAATTTAGAATAGAAAATAATAATTGAAATAAATCACGTCGGATGTGATGACTAAATACAAAGCACTAAAACCATTTTTTAGCTCCATAAATTCCTTATCTAATTAATATATAACAAATCTAGTGTATATTAACCGCCATATCTATACCGATATCTAAATTAACAATTTAGGTACCTACACTATTAATTAAACTTGCCTTTGATATGGGTAGTATAAATCCAAATACTATAAAATTTATTGTTATGAAAGAAAATACAAGATGCATTCCTCACCTGTTGTTCTATCCATGAATGTTTACCGCTAATCGCAGCAAGATATTGAAGTATAAGCTTTGTTGACTCCGTCTTTCCAGCACCCGATTCCCCGCTGATAACGATGCATTGATCCTGATTATATCTCCGCATGTGTGCGTACGCGTTGTCACCAATCGCGAATATATGGGGTGGTAGCTCGCCGATTTTTCTCTCCTTATACAATTTGATCTGGTCCGCCGTGTATATCGGTAGTATCTGATACGGATTCACCGCAACTAATATCGATCCGGTGTATGTCTGGAATATCGAGTATTTTCATTAATTTTTTTTTTATTTCTTTTTTTATATTGACTAGATGGGTGGACGAGCTCACAGCCCACCTGATGTTAAATGGTTACTGGAGCCCATAGACATCTACAACATGCGCCGCCCACCTAGAGATATTGGTTCTAAGGTCTAAAGTATAGTTACAACGGCTGCCCCACCCTTCAAACCGAAACGCATTACTTGTTCACGGCAGAAATAGACAGTGTGGTGGTACCTACCCGTGCGGACTCACAAGAGATCCTACCAACAGTAAAAGACCAGAATTACAATAAATTCATTATTCAGCTAACATTTATATGATAATGAATATTATTCGCATCATAGTGGAAATAATACTACTATTGGTATTTTTGGTTACTAGTAATCAAAACAAAACATTTACTGTCATGACTAAACAATTAGCATACTCACATAAATAAGATTTTCATTGTACCGGATGAGGAGATTCCTTAGTATACCGGCCTCGTGCAGATCGCCGAGTGAGATCATATCCTCGACTCCGTGCACGGAGGTCGCGTGCATCGCCTTGATGCGGCGCTCCGGTGGAAGCCATTGCTCGTTGCCGTCGTCGTCCCGGACCCGGATCCGACGTCCCTCGGCCGCGAGAACACGTGCTCCGATCGCCACGTCGAACTCCCGCCCCGACACCGGCTCGATCCATATGTAATCGCCCTGTAACACAAATCATCAACAATAGTTATTTTTACACGCTTTATTACTTAGCTTCACTTGTATGTATGTTTGTAACTGACTCCTTTAGACGCGATTTTGACCCACTTTAAACGGCCAGATTTCATTCAAACTTTGTAGATTTATCGAGGACCAACGACAATACACTAATTTGATTACGTTGAGCACCCCACGCTTTTTTTACAATAAAATATATATATATATTATTTTTACACTATTTTCAATTTAAATTTATTTAATTTTATTTTCTATTTTTTAGTTGAATTTTATATAAAACGTGTTTTTTAGTTTTTTTAAACTATTATTTTTTAGTATTTTAAAATGACTACGAGTAACAAGGCAAACAAGAAAAGGGATTAAGGAAATTTAAGAAATTAGGGGAACATGGATCTCTGTAGATAACGATTTTGATATGCTATTTTATATTTCTCACTTATTACTAGGCAGGCCGTGAGCTCGACATCAAAAAAAAAAAAGAAATCATTCACTATTTTGCATCATATAGATTTCGCGATAATCTCATTGAAACAGGTTTAAATCTGAGGATAGCATTTAATTTTCAAAGTTTTGTAAATAACGGCACGAGCTATCTATCTGCTTAATTATAATTTATCGTCGTGATAATTTTTTGTAGCAAAAATTATGTAAATTAACTCGTATTTCGTTAAATTGTTTTCGAAAATATAAGTATTGGTTATAAAAATAAGCTAAACAGCAACGATGTAATTCAGAAAAAAGGATAAAATAGTCACATTGTAAGAAATCTTCTATTTTTCTTGTGTAAGTTATTATTAGACCAAGATTCAACGAGGTAGACTTTAATCTGAAATCTGGAAGTGGCAGATGAAGTGTTAAAATAAATGAAGATTAGGAAATAAATATAAAAAGCATTACTAATTAATTCAATTGGTCTAGTTGTCACAGTATGCGACTTTATATTTATAAAACTAGCTATACCCGTCTGCTTCGCTGGGCATTTAAAATTAACATTATTATTTCTCACCCCTACAAATATTCTCATCATTAACGCCCCCGCAACTGGTGTAGGGAGTCCAACATTCATATAAATATTAGCCTATCCATTAAGTACATGTATTTTCTACATGGATACCAAGTTTCAATTCAAACGGATGTACGGTTCATTAGCTATAACAGAACATCCGTAAAAACCACTATAGATTTATATATTAGTATAGATAAAATGGTAGATCTTGATCAGGAACACGGGTTAGTCAAGTTTTTGCTTAAAAAAAATTTATGTTTCTTTGTTCTTGATACATTAATTTAAAAATTTATAGTTTTATTAACATATTCTACTGCAAAAGCATAAAATATTTTTTAAACATATTTAAAAAAATTTAAACTGCAGTTTTAGGCATCAAAATCGATATAAATTGGGAAATTTAAGTTTGCAATAATAAAAGACACGTTCCTGTATTATACACAGACGTCCAAAGACGTTCTTTAAGGTAATAAAATTGTGCATTTGACAACTATAGTAAATTACATTTCTATACATACATAATCATCGTAAACTGTTTCATTGTGTAACTGACAATTTATAAGTGACGCAGAATGAAATATGTCATGATGACAAGTAATTTTTTTTTAACATATTTTTATTTTTCTGTATTGTTCAAAGGTCAATTTCATTGGTATACACCAAAGGCGAGCTTTTACTCAGAAGTGGATTGAGCTTGCATTCCAGGTAGAATAAAAAGAGTAGTATAAATCATGTTGGGGGTTGGTGCTTCCCGCTTCCGTAGGTTTAACCCGCGATTCCCTACAAGTGACCCCTGGGTGGTGCTAAACGGGAGCCGAAAACATAACCGGTGGTAGGACCTAGTCCGACTGGCTGGCGACCACCCTCCAACTAGAGTCCGCCGCCAAATAGCCTAGCTGTGTTCCGGCGTGTGGGTTGGAGAGCCAGCTCTATCCCTTCCCTNCGAAAAAATATTAAAAATTGCAATCGAGGGGCTAACTTTTAGATATATTTTTAATATTTTTTTTAAAATAAATAAATGGGGAACAAACAATTATTAACAGTGAACAATCAAGAACAAATGATGAACAAACGAATTAATAGAAAATAAGTAGAAAACAGGAAAAAAAAATTTTTTTGAGGGGCTAACTTCATTCACCCCTAAAAACAATGATCGACAGAAGTAGGTTTTTTTTTGGAGTTTATGGCCTGGTACTCTAGACCTTTAGGCCGAACAGAAGTAGGTAAGTGTAGGTAAAAAGTGGTTATTTACCGATAATTCCACCTCCAACTGCTTGTTTCATTTTTCCACATTTATGCTCTTTCGTAAATACTAAACAGTTAATTAACCACCATTATTACTCATTTAAACCGGAAGAAACAAGAAAATAACAGAACAAAACAAATCACGCAACTGCACTCTGCGTTCCCACGGTTCCCTCGTATTACAAAATTTGATTGATATAACATTGAAAGGGAACGACTGTATACAAGTCAATCTTTTGTAACAAAGGCCAAATACAACCAATAATAGTAATTTTTTTTTTCAATAAGCTAAAAAAAGTAATTAACAAAAATCACTTTGTAAAAATGTGTAAGGTAGCTATTAAATTGGTCCATGTTATGCATGCAATGTTTTATTTCAATCCGACTCTTTAAAGAAGGTGAAAATCACGTTAAAAAATTTCGTTACAAAGATACACAGAAAAATATACCATTAAAAGTCGATTAATAATGAAAAGGAACAGAATATAATGATTTGGAATTAATTGGTAGATATTTAATGATATGAAATGAAATAAACTCTCAGTCAAATGGTGGATAGTTACTGAGAGCCCAATGGATTTTCCGGTAGCAGACAAGTCCAACGATTGTTTCATTAACCGAGATATTTGAACTTGCATCAATTCTAAACTATTATAAACCACTTTGATTGTGTGTTTAAACCTGACACATAAAATTAAAAAGATAAAACATTTCACACAACTTGGCTCTTTGCGCTCTTATTCGAAACTAGAGTAAATACTTTATAGAAGATGACAGCTTACTTTTTGAATTCTCTCTTTTGTTTTGTATGATTGTAATAAAGTAATAAATATGTTAGTGTAGTTACTACTGGAACTACGTTAGCTTATATGATGTGCTGGAGTCATGGTCCAGACGGCTGGCCGATCCTTCGGCTGGTCGTAGGACCGTCGAGGCGATTCACCCGGTTCTTGTGAACTGGGTGAATCGTGACAGAGGACGCCTCACTTTCCGGCTCACGCAGGTGCTCACCGGGCATGGTTGCTTCGGTGAGTTCCTGCACCGGATCGGAGCCGAGCCGACGGCAGAGTGCCACCATTGTGGTTGCGACTTGGACACGGCGGAGCACACGCTCGTCGCCTGCCCCGCATGGGAGGGGTGGCGCCGTGTCCTCGTCGCAAAAATAGGAAACGACTTGTCGTTGCCGAGTGTTGTGGCATCGATGCTCGGTGACGACGAGTCGTGGAAGGCGATGCTCGACTTCTGCGAGTGCACCATCTCGCAGAAGGAGGCGGCGGGGCGCGTGAGAGACGCACAGGCCCGCCGCCGTCGAGCGGGGGCCAGGGAGGCGGATATCGCCCAAGCCCTGGCCCTCTAAGTGTTTCGGGTCCCCTTCATATGTCGGTCTGGGGACCGGCGAAGGGGGCCTAAGAAGACGACGTGCAAGCTGCTCTGCACGCGTTTTACGCAAGAGCATCCGGGTGATGGAAGGCCGGCTATCCTCGACCCACGCTGGTTCTGACCCAGCGGGGTATTCCGTAGGATAACCCATTCTAACCGGTGCCATCTAGGCGGGCTCCGGATAGCCTGCCGACCGAGAGGGCTGGTGGTCGTGGCGCCGACGACCGCTGGTCCGGCGTCCCGAGGGGCAGGGTGATGGGAGAGATGTGCTCCGCACTAAACGCTTCACTTTCCCCCCTTTGCCTTTTCATGGGTTCTGTCTCATGCGAGGTTCGGACGCGGGTTGTTGAGCGACAGGAGGTTTTAGTCAGTTCGACTCCGACATGCCCCGCCTTCCATCCCCAGGGGAGGGCGAAAGTCCGGCGATTTCCTCCTGACCAAAAAAAAAAAGCTTATATGATGTAGGCAATTCTAAATACTATTCTAGCTTCTAGCCACTGATTACAATAAGTAAATAATGATTACTTAACTATCAATATTATAATCGCACTAAAGAACGAGAAAAGGATTTTTCCTGAGACGAAGAAAGCTTAATAGCCACCTTCGTCGATGTCTGCTTCGACTGTGTTTGTGTAGCACCCTGATTTTTTCAAATTTGAGCCTCCATCACTGTATTTTAAAGTCCAGACTAATGATATGAAATAATATTAGGAACTATTAAGTAAATGTAATGATGTAAACTTCTTACTTGAAACTATCAGTCATAAGTTAGGTAGGTAATTAGTAAGTAGTCTATTACATTTCATCCCATATCATCTCATCTCATCTAATTTCATTTCCTTTCATAATATCCTATTTCAATATAAAAGAGTTTTCATTAAAATTAAAATTGACCTAAAGGTCTTAGTTACCAAGTCATAAAATCCCTTAAAAAACTAAGTAGGTAATCTATATTCTCTATATTGTTCGTGATTGTTGTACCTACTTGTGATTCGATTGAAGATTAATTTGTTTTGAAAAACTAAAGATAGTTTAGCTAATCAAATAATTTGTTTTCCAATAGTGATTATATTTAGCGACGATGTCTTCTATGGATTTTGGTTTTTGAAAATAACCGTTGTGTTTCTGCATTCTAAAAAGTGAAGTGACGCGAGCCATTGTGTAAACCCATCAACAAGTTTGTGGATAATTAATACTAGTACTGCAACTTCTAAAACCATCCTTTTCTCCTTTTTTGTGATGTTCCCGCATTTCATCCGCGCGGAAGAAGAACAGAAGTCGAATTTGATACCGAGTGTGAACCTTTTACACTCAAAGAGAAAAGGAATATTCATACACCCCACGGCTATGTACAGAAATAATTTATGGTGTAGTATAAATATAAATGCACCGATAATAACGAGCCTGTTGATCGGATAATTTGAACAGAATAAAATCAGAGAAAATGAAACTATTGGAAAGTGGTCGTTTGGAAGCATTAAGCAGAGCTCTGTCTATTCTGAATGGCGACAGTGCTGTACAAGGCCGCGTTGAAAGCTACAGCTGCAAAATGGCTGGCAGTGAGAAAGCTTTCTATAAGAAGTTTACTGCTGATGGAGAAACTACTCATAGTCTTCAAGCATTGTCTCCCCCTGAGAGTGTTACTTATAGGTAATCACATGATTACCCTGCAGTTACTTAAAAAAATGCAAGACAACACAGTATTTATGTACTGCACATACGTATTTATGTACTGCACATACTGTAAATTGTTAACGTAGGAACATATAGCTATATTATTTACTTTTAACACTGTCCTAAATTACTTTCTTACCTTAGATAATAGCAGTGGGATTTATTAACTACTTTACACCAAATGGTTCTGGCATTTGATGTAAAGTAGTTAATAAAAATTTTAAAACATTAAGATGAAGCCTCAATTGCATTAGACAACCTTACTTTATACTTAGAAACAGAGAGAGTCTGGACAGTGTTCTCCTGTGACATATAACTAGGCCTATATAATAATCTACGTATAAAATATATATTTTCAAAAGTCCACCCGATTTGATGACAATATTCTAACTATAAATATTATTATTAATAATATTATTGGTTTAATTGACAATGACATACAGTTTTCTGTGATTATGAAAAACATTCAAAATGTTGGAAATAATGGAAGGACAATAAAAATCCTGAGATTAAACCCTAAAACTAGTTTTGATTGTGTATGAATTGCAAAAACTGAAAAGAACATTGATCATTAATACTCATATTGAAATATTATTTTAGCCGGAGCTTGTCTGGTGACGAAGATGGTGTGTTATGCGACACCATTTCAAGGAAAACATTGTTTTATCTCATTGCTACATTGAATGCTGCTTTTCCAGACTATGATTTCTCCATGGCAAAGGTACAGTAATATTAATATGTAGCAATTGAATGTAGTAATAATGATGTTCATATGTCATTAACATTTTTATTACCTTTTACAGAGCAGTGAGTTCAGTGCTGAACCATCATTGAATTGGGTGCAAAGTGCAGTTGATGCTGCCTTATCTGCAGTAGGTGGTGTGCGTTGGCGCCAACTGCGTCCAGTCTTGTGGGCTGCTGTTGATGAAGAAGTGCTCCTACCAGAATGTCGTATCTACAGCTATAATCCAGACCTAGCTACTGATCCATTTGGTGAACCTGGATGTCTTTGGGCTTACAACTTCTTTTTCTACAATAAGAAGTTGAAAAGGATTGTTTTTCTCACTTTCAGAGCTATAAGGTGTGTTTAATACATTACATCCTGATTTGTTACAATTAGTCATCATTTCTAAGAAGATTTTATACATTACTAGTAAAACCAGACTTTTGATTGGATATGACTGTCATTTTTCAATAAAATTTACTGTTTCATACCTTTCACAACTCTTATTGGAAATTATGTACATTCTTGTAATGTAAAATTTCTAAACAACTAATATAATTATGTGAACTACTAATTTTAGTAAAATCAGTCCAACCATTTTTGAGTTTAAATACACTGAACCTAAATACATATTAATGTATAAAATGATATAATAATGTTTTACAACAAAATAAATAAATATTTTTTTTACTACTAAAAAACTTTCTAGTATCTTATGTCTGCCAACAAATCTGAATATACACTACTTACGTTTTACTATCATAAATTACTATAATAATCTTATTATTTGCAGCCCTGTTTGTGCAGCCGACTCTGGTGTTGATTTTGCCATGGATGAAGATGAAGATTACAACTGATAAACTCTTGTTTTTAATCAATGAAAGTGTTTTTCCGTTATGGATAATCCATTACTAGGTACATAGAGTACATAGATTTTATGTGAACTACTATTATATACAGTTGGAAAGAATATTTATTTATGGAAATAAAAGCAATAGATACTTTTTTAATGTTTAAGACATAAGATTCACACAACAATATAGATTAAAATATTTAAGTATGTACAATTCCTATTTGTGAATTCAGGAAAAGCATAAAGTAATTGTGTGTTTGTAGTCTTAACATTTACTTGATGTTCAGTAATTACAGTATTATAGTATCTTACATTTGATAAAATAATAATTTTGAAAATGACCAAAATTTAAAATATTCTGGAATTGAAGAATGAAAAGATGCAGACGATAGAAAAAATGAATACCTTGGTTATATAAATTTGACTTTATTATGTCTAAATAATTATTTTATCATTTTGACTCTTCATATTGTGCACTCAGTCAAAGAGCAACCAACAAGTTAACTTTGTCTAATAAATTCATATGCAAGCGGACACATTGGACTTACACATATATTATACACACACCTATTACATTATATTATAATTTAATCATATGAGCGAATGGGTTACAATCGACCCACCCACAGAGTTGAGAGCAGTAAAATTTAATAAATTTTATAACTTTCTTCGACTTTTATGTTAACAAGTGTATTCCAATTACAATTCTGTTCAATGATAGTCCTTCGTGTCCTTTGTTCATTGAAACGGAGTAATTAATAATTACATCAATTGAACAGATACTTTCTTATTCGCTAATAAAATTATTGGATAAGTTGATTACTTTCTTTATTTTTGTTATTTTAGATTTAATTATATATATTTAGGTATTGGCATAATTACTATCAACAAATAAAAAAATAAAGAACTATAATTTAAATATCTTAAAATGACCAGCATTCATTATTTTATATAATAATACTAAGACATGTTTTGATTTAAAAGAAATATATTAAATAATTATTGATATAAACATTACAGCTACCCATAATAGAATTTAATGTAAACTAAAAGATTTATACATATTTACTTTTTTTAATTAATACTTTCTCTAAAATGTTTTGTAGATATTAATTTTTACTATTTTTGCTAAGTTAAAACACACAGTCGATAGTGTATGTACGCAGTAGAAGCATATGATAGCCGCGTCTGTCGTCTCTAGTTCTTTAAAGAAAACGTTTTGCAAGTAACTGGTTATTACATTTTTCACATTTTTGTTGCGTTTTATCTAGTATTCTCTATCCATAATTGAATATTTCGGATGTTACATACATTAATATCTTTGTTAATTCGATAAAAATGTTGAAATTAAATAACTGATGTCGAACCTTAAAATACAAAAAAATATATTATAATTTGCAAATTTTCATAGCTCGACAGTTTGTAAATTACTAATTCAGTGAAATTTCATGTTCTATGAGCTTAAAACGGTTCTAATATTTCTTTTTTAATATAATTAGTTAATTCTTAGCATATTTTGGACATATCTGTAACACTAAAATAATTATTAAAAATTATATAAAAATTTTCGGTTTTTCCTATTTTCAAATTTCTCATCTCCAACAAAATTCAGTCTTTTCGAACATTTATTTTATTAGGTTTTTACCTACAAAATTGCCGTTTAGTATACAGAAAGTTTGTCATTTTTTATGTCTTTCAATTCAATGTGCGCCTAGTTTATTAATGTATCTGTGCCGACACAATGGTAATTTTTAAATGCCCTTCTTGAAGAAGTCTGGTGTACGGAAGCCAACAAACTCTAATATAATTTTGTGCTGCCTCTCGGGTAGATATTAATTTTTTTCTGTCAATTTGTCCAAAGTTTGGAGATTGTAGAAGTCTGTCGGTACAAGGTCTGGTGAGTATGGTGAATGATGCAAAACTCTCAACCCTAGTTCTTGAAGTTCAGAGACCCTTTGTTGTGTCGTATTAGATTGAGCGTTGTCTTGTAGGAGCAGCGGGGACATTAACAAAAGCTGGCTGGAGATTCACGAGCTTCACTACCAAACAGTGGGCAGCGGCTTGGCTCTGCCCCTGGCATTCCTGGAGTCCACGAACGGTAACCACTCACTATCAGGTGGGCCGTGCCATGCTCGTCTGTCTAGAAGGTCAATAAAAAAAAATAAAAAAAACAGTAACGTTTTTTTACGAGCTTCTCGATCATTGTGTCCAGTTCCTCACAGTACACAACGGTAGTAATGCTGATGCCATTTCGTAACACGCTGTAATGAATTACACTGACTGACTGGGATACATTTTGCGTTTGGAACTATCTGTTGAACCAGCTCTAACCAACATAATGACCCCTTATGATCATCAAAAGGAAACCATTTTTCATCGCAAACGACAATGCGGTTCAAAATCCCTTCGTTTCTATATCTGTTATGCAAGGCAGGCATACCTACCTTAAAGCGTTCGTCGCACTGGTGACCGTTTATTTCAAATTATCAAGTTTTTTACCTTTCCAATTTGACGGAAATTGACAAATAAATATTGTTTTGATGTTAAGTAAAAGCAGCAGTATTAGCTCAGCAGTAGATTGATCGTCACCTCCACTATAATTTTTAGTTCGTCGTGTTGTCGTTAATTTTCGAGCGATCACGGGAGTTAAATTTTAAGATCAAAATTTCCATGCCCGAATCGTTCAAATCATTAACGAGTCGTGCGTACATTTGCAGGATTCACTCCGTACACTTCATTAATGTTATGAGCCATTTGTACGGCATTGTTACCGTCACGGAACTCTTATTCCATATTTACTCGTATCTTTATCCTATCGATATTTATTAAAAAGATACGAATGTAGTGAAAACAGAACGCTAATTAATAAACATGAGTAAATTTGAAAATATAATTCCATATTTTTTAATTAAAATTCATTTTAGGTCAATATTCATTTGCCAGCTATGCATCAATTACATTTCAAATGACCAACCAGTACTGTAAAACGGCAATTTCATAGGTAAAGACCCATATATTTTTTGTGATATGAGTCAAATCCATAGAACGTCTATTCGATCTATACATTTATGAAATCGTCACATAGTAAGTTAGAAAAAAATATATCCAACGACCTTAATAATTTCGCCATACAAATCGTAATAGAACTAACTATACATTAACCAGACAACCAGCTGTTTAGTTATCTAGAATTAATGAAAAAATAAAAACAAAAATAATAAAAATAACTAACACTATAAAATAAAAGACGTTTTATTTTCTCCGTTTATGCATTCTTAAACAGTAATTTAAACGTAGCTTAAACGGGAGTTTAAGAATGTATAGTTAAAATATTTTCGGAATACTTTATGATTCTACACTAGATAGTTGATCACTTATCAACGCAGACAACTTCACAAATACATTTTGGAAACCTATCAAAAAAGACAAATGGCCGCTCAACTGGTGTAGTTGACCTCGACTATGTTGGACGTCGATAGATGTTATAATGGCACAGGTTCTTTAGTAAAATATTTTGCATATAATTTTATAAGAAACAGAAGTTTACTGATGTTAATCAACAAATAATGTTAACCATTGTTAGTGTCGTTCCGTAATTTTTTTATTTATTTATTAAAGATGTGATCCATTAATCTAGTTTTAGTGGCATTGCATCAATTTAACCAGATCTATGTACAGTATACCAGACAATAATCTTAAAAAAAAATTAGACTACTCGTCTTTGTTTACATATTCTTAAACAACGTTTTTACTTTTTTACTAGTTTCTGATTTTTCTTAACCTAACATTTATTTTTTCATATTTTTATTCCTACCAAATATAATTCCTATAATCCTATAAAATTTAGTAATAATTGGTTCTATAAATTTACTAAATTGATTTTAAACAAAATCGTACAAAATTATAACTAATAAAAACAAACAGATCAGGAGAAAGTCGGGGAGGAAGTTTCATAGCAAGATTTGTTTGGGTGATCTAGATCCTTTCGGATTTCGATCAATAAAACACAAGCTTTATGTAAAAAGTAAAAGTAGATTTTTACAAAATATAATAAACAATCAAAACATAATAAATCTTTATCATCTATACAACAGGGATCTCAAAACGAACCGAAAAAAGAAAAAAAAACGATACGTAAAGAATGAATGAGCCATGTGATTCTGCTAAATATATCCAGGTGGTCATCCGAGCGTTCGCTGCGCGCGCACACATCACTCTTGCAAAAATGTTATCAAATTACTTATCGAAAGTAGTACATACCCATAGAGCGAGGTAATCGTTTGATAAGTTTTTGTTTTCATTTCTGTGGATCGAAGCGTGCGCGCGCAGCGAACGCTCGGCCGAGCAATTGGACAGGAGCGGAATGCGGAGCGCGGATTAGGTCCGCGGCGGGGGTGCGGGCGAGTGCGGGGCGGGCGCGGGGTCGGGGGCGGGCAGCGGCGCGTCCCGCAGCTTGTGTCGCGGCCGCCACGCGTCCAACAACGACTCCACGCGCTCGTCCGTGGGCCCCCACCGGGCGAACCCCGCCGCGTTCTGCAGCCACACTACCACCGTGCCGCCGCCCCATCTGAAGTACACCTCGTTCCTGACACCAAACGATCTACTTTAAAATGTACACGTAAATGGATTAGATTACTCAAAAGAAAACATGGCTTAAAAAAAACTAGTTTAAGAAACAAAAAATAATGATCTATATTTTATATATAAAAATGAATTCCTGTTCGTTAGTCCCGCTAAAACTTGAGAACGACTGGACCGATTTGGCTAATTTTGGTTTTGAATTATTTGTGGAAGTCCAGAGAAGGTTTAAAAGGTAGATAAATAAGAAAATGCTCGGAATTAAATAAAAATAACAGTTTTGTTTTCCCTTTGATTTGCACCCCGTCGAACGGATTCCTTTTGTTTGTTTTAAGTTTATTTTATACAAAAGCTTAGGTCTTGTATTTATCGATTGAGGCACTCTGCCGGGTCAGCTAGTCCATTATAAAAGAAATGTGATGACATAATACATAGGTTCTCGGCAAAAATAAGCATTATAGAGTAGGAGTGGGTGATATAAATCGTATCTAGATTCAATATCTATATATCGCAGCAATATCGTTGAATCCGATATCGCCCCGCACGAAATCTATATATCGATATCAGCCGATACACGATATTGCTCGATGCGATGCGCATCGGCATATCGTACCGATTCGTGAATCGAAATCTATATATCGATATCAGCCGATACACGATATTGCTCGATGCGATGCGCATCGGCATATCGTACCGATTCGTGAATCGAAATCTATATATCGATATCAGCCGATACACGATATTGCTCGATGTGATGCGCATCGGTATATCGTACCGATTCGTGAATATCAGCAATATTCGTTTGGTTCGTATCGAATCGGACAGAGTGAGTGAGCGCACGATAGGGATATCATGTGATGAATGAAACAAAAACAGGCATTATCCATACAATTTATATTTAAGTCCATATGTCTGTAGATTATTCTTAGCGTATCAGCAGGATACAATTTAGGAAAGAAGATTTAACTTTCGACCCTAACTTGAATGCAATATAGCCTATTTGCATCGTTGAATTTAATTTCACGCGCTTTGACCTTGAACTAGAATTTTTGGACAAGTGTTTATAAATACTTAATGGTTTTTTGTGTTTGATTTTTAAAGTACACATTTTTCTATTTTTAGTTAAATCCAAATAATTGAGTTTATTTCTTGTGTTTGTATTAAACTTTTGAAATCTACACTCTTTTGGTATATTTTGTAATTTTAAATTAAGACACAAAATACTAAAAACTGAAAATAATGTAGCCAGTCCTAAGCCTGATAAAAGCATGAAGGAAAGTTTTTTTGATATTTTTATTTTCATGTTCTTTTTATTACTTTAAAATCATATTATAAATTGATATCAGAAAACCAACCGTATAACGTTGACTTAAATCTATATCTACTACGATATTATATCAGCGTATCGTTTCAAATCTCAAATATCATGAATCGAGAAAATCTACTAGCATCCATCAATATATAGATTCGGAAAATATATAGATTCAATATCCGATATTGATACTCGATATATAGATACGATTCGATACGCGGCATAACCGATATTACCCACTCCTATTATAGAGTGAATACCAAATTATTACAAAAATTCGGTCGGTTCCTTCATAGCACTAGTCGTTCATGAACACTAGATAAATCCGTTATTCTTTAGAAAAAATGGATATCATGATCGCCATAACTGCAGAACTACAAGTCTTCTTTATTAAGCGATGGACATTTAAAATTGTTTTTCTAATGAGTGGCAGGATTTAACTTACTTTGGAAGTACATGCTGGAATCCATGGCGATATTCGTGTTCGAATGCCGGTATCACCACCTAAAATTTATTTTGTTTTGTTAGTAAAACAGTTACAATACTAATTTTCATCCGTTTCATTCACATTTTATGAATAGTTAAATAGATTTGCATTATGCACATTGTCTAGATTAAAACTATATATAGTATGCTATACTATTAATATTGTAGTACGATAATATAGCTATTATCACAGAATACTTTTGCAAAAACCATTAGTAACTAGGCAACATTGCTAATTCCTACAGATAGTTCAATCACTAAATCTTTTATTTTTTATTTCTTAGTTGGGTGGACGAGCTCACAGCCCACTTGGTGTTAAGTGGTTACTGGAGCTCATTTACATCTACAACGTAAATGCGCCACCCACCTTGAGATATAAGTTCTAAGGTCTCAAGTATAGTTACAACGGCTGCCCCATCCTTCAAACCGAAACGCATTACCGCTTCACGGCAGAAATAGGCAGGGTGGTGGTACCTACCCGCGTGGACTCACAAGAGGTCCTACCACCAGTAAATCGAAATATGTTCACAAGCTAAACTAATGCATAATAAGCTATCCCTTCCAAAGTCACTCGATTATTATTTGTAAAGCGAAACATTTTTATCTCACTCCCAGATATTAATACACGCTAACGATATAAAAACGTTTATGAGACATTATTAAGATACAAAAAAATGTACTTATTATTCATCTAATCGCAATGTCATCTCTAATAATAATATGAAGGTACCTGTTTCCTCTTAAAATGGCTAGCTTGTAATTTGTGCAGAGCGTGTGTAGGTCGATCGGGCCACTCCGGCAGCACCACGACGAAGCTCAGCGGCTCGGCCGAGTCCTGCAGCAAGCGTTCCATGTGCCGCAGCGCCGCCTCCAACAGCTCCTCGCAGTACGGCGGGTGCGCCACCATAGACCCGGACACCGGACGGAGTTCCAAAAAAGGCCTGCAACACGCATCATTATTTCAATATACAACGCGCAAACAATTTTATACACGATTTAACAAGGAACGCGAACGTCGTTCTAGGGTGAACTAGATGAAAAAAAAAGGTGCGCGTGCAAATTATAACCTATATATTAATACGCGAACCAAAAACTTTGTATCCCTTTTTACGAAAATTGCGCGGACGGAGGAGTATGAAATTTTCCACACTTATAGAGAATATAGGGGAGTGCAAAATGCTAATAATACATTACACACACTAACATGTATTTGACACACACACGCATATGTACTATTTTGTTTATTGTTAAAGCTGTGGTCAAGTTGAGACGAGATTTAATGCCTATTGATTTCTTTAATATTATTTGTCTTTAGCCTCAGCGAAATCTGTGATTAGAGAAGTATAATATAGTCTTTGACAATAGAACCATAATAATGTTCAAACTTCAAACTTATAATTTTAATTAATAATTATAGTCGAATTTCGACTACCGGGCGACCACTAGTCTATTTAAATACTTCATTAAAATATTGGGCGCTACTCGTTGCAACGCTCGCGCTGGCCTGTAACAGGTATACTACGCGAATGCGTTCGAGTGCCACGCATTCACTCTCGCTCTGTCTCTATTCCATAATAGCGTTAATCGTTTAACGCAACCTTGTTGGAAATCGCATTAGAAGTTTCATTTCAATAAAAGGAAAGCAGGTACAAGATGTTATTAAACACATACATACTTTTTAATAATGCTTAACGTTGAAATTTATAAAGGAATAATCACCCGCGAGATCCGAAATATGAGTCAGTGTCGGCGAAAGCAGAGCAATACTGTCTGAAGTAGCAGTCGAGCGGACTCGCGAAACATTCGAATGTGACACCAAACGTCCTGTGCAGGCACTCGAGCACGGAGACAGGCAGCGCCATCTGCGTGATGTGCGCCTCAGAGCCGGCCCCCACCCACGCCGCGTACCGTCTCAGCAGGCACCACACGCGACTCAAAAACTGTTCGAATTTCTTGTCGTCGAAACAGCTGTACCGGTAAAGACATTCCTGTCAAAACACATACCATGATTAACGTTAGTTGAATATTATAATGTAGTTAATTTTAGGAGTCGAGTTGTTGTTAAATGATTATCTACTTTAGTTTATGTAATTATGTTATTCCGACATTGAGGCGAAGTTGTAGTAATTATAAGGAATAACAAGAAAATCTAAAACGGCTTTGGCAACAATTTCTAAAAATTAAAATTCATTTTCGAGCTAGTACTGAATGCGAAAAATGACATCTTGTATTTTTAACCAAGAAATTTTACTAAAGAGTGAATTTGTAGTAAATCGCTTAATTGAAGTAGTGTCGATTTTTTAATATGTTAATTGATTAAAAAATAAACTCGTGAATAAGTACCGATGATATATAGATAGATAGTATTCGGTGGGAAATTTTGCATTTTGTATCAAAATGTAATGTGACAAAATATATTATAATTTTATATATAAAAATAATAGAATAAATATATTATATACTTTTTGAATGAATGAAAAAAATTATTGAAAAAAAAACTGAATAAATAAACATTCTTAGTTTAAAATACTTTTATTTTTTGGTGCGGGAGCCGAACCTCCTACGAGGTTCCCGCGCCTAGACGGCGCGCGGGTTATGTGGGACTGTTCCGCGACTGTGAAACCGCGGGCCCAAGGATGGTTTCAGGACCTTAACCACTAAACGACTCCCCTGCACTCTGCGCCCAAGCGTCCGATCCCCTCCGAGGTCAGAACCCAGATGAGGTAAGGACGTTATCGCAGTCAACACTACAACCAGACGGCGCAGCTTCACCCCAAGGACGCCCGACCGACTAATCACTGAGCCTTCGAGGCGAATCGAAGATTCTGAAAGTCGGCCGTCTCGGCACGGCAGCCCGTCGGGCCACCCAGACGGTGCCGTTGGCGTCCCGAAATACCACGCCGTACCAGAACCAACCTGTCGGGTCGGGGCGCGATACACCGCCAACCGGTTGCTCTTTTATCTCGAAGATATTCCGCCTTGGCAGTGCGTTAATGCTGGTAGCGCGCCGGGCGGCCGCGACGGCCTCAGGTCAACCCATGACTTTCACCGGGGGGGTTAGTTTAAAATACTACCACGTGCGTTTTTTTAAGTTTCAAGTTTTTTCAAACTTCCAGTGGCCCAGAAAGTAAAGCAATTTGAAATTCAATTTGAAAATTGAAATTGAGTTTGAAAATTCAAAGTAAAAAATATATTACATTTTAAAAGCGTTTCATTTATTACAATTTAAAATGAACCTTTGGTGATTGAAGCTATGTTTTAGACGGGACTTCTCTTCAGCTCAATACCGGCAGTTTTGTTTATTCGTGAAACCCTTTTATGCGAAAATCGTATGGAATCTTTTTTTTTTATTGCTTAGATGGGTCGAGCTCACAGCCCACCTGGTGTTAAGTGGTTACTGGAGCCCATAGACTTCTACGACGTAAATGTGCAACCCATCTTGAGATATAAGATCTAAGGTCTCAAGTATAGTTACAACGGCTGCCCCACCCTTCAAACCGAAACGCATTACTGCTTCACGGCAGAAATAGGCAGGGTGGTTGTCCTACCGGTGCGGACTCACAAAAGGTCCTACCACCAGTAAGTACGCCAATTAAAATTTGCGGGTTTGATTTTTATTACACGATGTTATTCCTTCACCGTGGAAGTCAATCGAGAACATTTTTTGAGTACGTATTTCATTAGAAAAATTGGTACCCGCCTGGGATTCGAACACCGGTGCAACGCTCAACATGAATGCATCGGACGTCTGATCCTTTAGACCACAACGACTTCAAATGGAAGTAGCTGTTATTTGGGAGCCCCGGCCCAGAGGTAGGTGCAGTTCTCCACGTGAGGCCGGACCAGCGCTTTGTAAAGCGCAAGTCTTGGCCCAGGCGTGAAATACCGCTTCGCTCTGCTAGAGGCCAATTTGGCTTTACCTTCCAAATTACTCCTCTACATATCGACACCCAGAATCCTTATACTCGCGGAAAGCTGCAGGGATACTGCTTGAAATTGCGGCGCTATGAAAAAAGGATCCTTCTTCGCAGTGAACACATAAACCTATCTTCAATGGGTTGAACTGAACAGAATTCAGTTCACCCCACTTTGAGACCAAGGCAGTTTTCCACTTCAGACACAGGTTTTGATCGTTTCTCTTGTACCACGGTTCGAGAGCGACACTGATGGCCGAAATTTCACGCATCCCCCGTGCTATCATCCGCATAGCATGCATGCCATCAATGCAAGTCATTGATATGCAGTATAAAAAACGTGAGGGAGAGCATCGAAACTTGTGGGACGTCAGTGTTGATGGTCATGGTATCGGAGTAGCAGCCGTCGACGATGGCTGTGATGCTCCGTCGACTCAAAGCCAGCGATCCAATTGCAGTCTCTCGCGGTTTCCGTGAGCTGGAAGCTTTGATTGAATTGCCCTATGCTAAATCCTTTCGAAGGGCTTTGCGATGTTAAGTCTTACAGCGAGAGCCTCGTCCTTGCTTTCCAAGGCTTCAGCCCATTGATGTGTGAGGTATACAAGAATATCGCCAGCTGAATGAAACCGTACTGCCGGTCACTGATCAGCTGGCGATCCTCAAGATGAACTGGATATTTATGATTCACTCCATTACTTTGGAAAGCAAGGAAATGATCGTGTCAGGTCTGTAGTTCGACGGGTCCGACCGATTACCCTTCTTGAGAATATGGTGAACATGAGTGGCTTTCCATGAATACCATGAATACTTTACACCGAAATAAAAATATAAACTCATTGAATGAAATATCTTACCAATTTTTGAAGGTATGCTGAGTTTAGAATTTGAGTCTCCCCGAGATAACGCAGAACAGTTGTGTCACGATCAACAAAATGTTCTAACAGAGGTGCGCGAGGTGCAGGCAGAGCAAACTGTACTGGATAGCACCACACCTTGCGAAGTGCTGCCTGTTGCAATGGTGCTGGTAACTCCTATATATCCCGTACACTCTTTATTTTTATACAGCAATATAAAAAGTTCCAATATAGTCTTGCTAATGAAAGTAGTCATTATTTTCACATTTCATATTTTAGCTTGAGATAATTATTTGATTAGAATACCTGTATGCCATTTTCTTTTAGTAGTGCACTGTGTTTTTCTCGTATTTTTCTTGCATATTCAGCTGATAGATGATAAATCTTCAAACATATTCCTTCCACAGATGCTTTTACAGTCTCTGCTAAATGTGGCTGACATTGTCTCTGAAGTTGGTAAATATTTTAAAAATTTAAAATTCCTTGATCACAATAACAAATTTTGGACAACAGAGACAGCTTAGCGATTTTTTTCTGGTTATTAACTAACACTAACAAATATTTGGCCAATGATGTCTTTCATGTCTTTGTTTAATTTATACCAAGATTACGTTGGATGTAGGTGGCAACGGACCGGCTGCACTGGACATCAGTTTGAGAGGCCTATGTTCAGCAGTGGACAGTGGACAGGCTGAGATGATGATGATGATGATACCAAGATTTCACAAACCACTTTAGTCTAGAGTCAACTATTTTACTGCACTATTGAGACTTCGACTGTGAATCTTCATGTGGCATTCACATTTTTATTGCTTCAGTAACTATTTAACACCTAATGGGTCATGAATTATATAAGTACCTAGATTAAAAATCAAATGAAAATTATATTTAAATTTTTACAGTCTATCACACATGCTAATCATAGTGCAAAAGAGGAAAAATGATAAAACTAATTGCAGTGTTTTGAAATTACTTATTTAGATACTTTTTATATATATATATTTTTTTTATAATTTTTCAAACTGGATTTTCTTAAACCAGGATGGAGTTATAATCGGTGGATGTATAAACTACAGTTAATTTTGAATATTTTAGAAGTTTATATTGCCACCACAGTCTACAATCTAAATATGTTTATATGTACAAAAGTTTATTATATAACTTACTTGTTATTTATGATTACTTACCCTAAGATGTGCTAGTCTGTCTTGAAAATCATCGTAAGTTGCTCCAACAGTTCGTCGTAGCCACTGAAATGTGTCTTCTGCATTCCATTTGACAACTTTGCGACTTTCTGGTGATGCATTTCTTGATTCTATCATTTTTTTAGCAGCTTCAGCATATTTTGACAATTGTTTTCTGGCATCTCCAGTGAATTTAGGATTAGTCAACTTAATAGGAATGTCATTCATGATTTCCTCATACATAGTATAAGAAATCTCTGGAAAGCAATGACTTGGTAACAGTGGATCTGACCCTCCCTGGTCATTTACTTTTCTTTCCATTAACCATCTGTTAAATGAATCTTTAGGGGCATCTATACCCTCTCTTGTGTGACATAATTCTTGATAGCATTGTCTTAATTTATTAGCAAGAGTGAATCTAAACCCTTCTATATCTGGATTAGGATGAGGACATATGGTTGGTGGTCTTTCATATATAACTACATTTGTAGGTACTTCTATATCCCAAGGTCCAGCTAGTACAAATTTCTTTGGAGGAGGACCACTATCTTCTGACGGTCTCCGTTTATTTGGTCCTGGTGTCATATTTCCAGGATTAGAAGGTCCTGTGTGACAAATACCTAAAGGATCTGTTATTGGATCAAAATCTCTCTTTACAGCCGGAAGCTCCCACATAGATTCACCCGATAATTTGTTCCAAAAATATGGCCTGTTTTCTCTTTTCGACCAGTATTTACGCCAACCTTGTTGAATAAGATCTGGATGTAGGTCAGCAGCTAGATGGGGCGCAAGTGGTGCCGGAGCTCCAGGAGTCTGGGGTGTCTCACCACCAGGTCCCAATGCTGTTTGGTTCTCTGCACAGCTATCAGTTGGAGAGGCCCCACTCTCCCATGTAGAAGATCCAGGAACGACTTTTTCGCGAACATCGTTCATATTGGTAATAAAACAAATTACTCGTTTAATTTATTAGTTGTACTTAGTGTTGAGAAATTTACAAATTAGTTTCTAGTAAGCTTGACTTTTTTATAAGCATCTTTAAATTACTGTCATTGTTTAAAACTATGATGTATAAAAATCCTTCAAAAAATATATGATAATGCATGGTAAATAGCACCATTATAACACATAGTAAAAATATAGCAGGGAAACATTTCTATGAAAACAAAACAAACACTGTTACGAACGTTTCACAAAAAATTAGCATAGCCCCCCAAGCTTCGCCATCACTATAATAACGACCACAGATTAACTACCTAATTATAGAGTTTTGGAGATGATGAGTTTAGACTTTAGACCATAGACTTCATGCTCTGTTCGTCCAAGAAGATGTATGCAAAAAGTGTGGAAGTATCGTCCGATAACTAAAAGTAATATGAGATTATATTCTTATGGGTAAATAATCTCAAAGCCTGTCTAATGCTGAGCAGTTACAAGAGCCTACAAACACCACCATTATAAATACCACTACAAAATGTTTAAATTATTTGAAAGACTAAATTCGACTCTGCCACAAGTGCGAGCTTACTTAAAATAAGATAAGTAAGATAACCATTAACTGCACAGAATGGAAGAGAAAATAAAGATATTGGAAACAAATTTAAAAATGAACGATCATCAATATTTTCTTTATTTAACTTTCAGTTATTATCAGTGGTCGGAGTAGGTAGATTGATTTTATATACTTGCGTCAAGATATTATAATATGGAGCAAACATTTTATCCGTAATGACTATTTTTTTAAATTGAAAAAAAAATTTTTAATCCTCATCGGATACAATTTCTATATTTATGAGATAAAGTAACAAAAAAAGGGTGCGTGTACTTATGTACGCGCCTAAGAAGTTATACTTTATTTTTATTAAATTTATTTCTTTTTTTTTTAATTTAAATTTTAATCAATTTGAAAAAAAATCAATTAAACAACATCCTCAAACACGCATATTGGACATCCCTTTTCTTGACATCGTATAAATTCGGTAATTCTCGGTACGGTTCGAAAAGTTCACCTGCGGCTATATTCAGACTCGCCAAGTGACGTTGGTCGTATTATAATGAGCTATTTAGTGGGAAACTTCATTCTATTAATTTTGTGTCGCGGTGCGCGCGCATCGTAAAATTTCACTCTCATCAATTTTTCATAACGCGCCTAAAGAAGTATAACTTTAAAAGCCCTGCCTAAATTTGTCTCATACTGACAAGCGTCATTTCTAATTCAACAGAAAGGGACAAAATACGATGTAACAATTCCAAGGTGTTTTTGTATAATATCAAATACTGATTTCTTTCACCATTAGCTAGCACTGGTAGCGTAGATTAATATTATTAATACGTTTTTCACCTTAAACCCAGATTCATGCTAATTTTAAAATTCCGGAACAAATATCACAATAAATATGAACTTCCGGTATTTTGGAGGCATATCCATACTATCCTCTACGTTTGACATCAACGACACTAGATTAATCTACCTTACCTACTCCAACCTCTAGTTATTATTAATAGAAAATTTGAAAATGTTTTTAATTGTTGATATGAGAAAATAAAAACATCTAAGCGGATATGCATTAAATCGAGTGGGCCTTAATATAGGTGGGACAGTCTATATTGGCGGGAAAGTGCAAAGCCAAGTTATCTGTGTGCTTAGTGCGAGTTTTTTGACGTTCTCGATAGCGTAAAAGTTAAGCCAATTTCGTATGCAATTGGAACAGCGCCCCTAGCGACAAACGTACGCAAACGATCCGATATTTAGTATCTGTGAAAGTGCATAAATGTGAGAAACTAAAACAAAGTCGCTGGACGTAACTTCTCGGGATCCTCCAAAAAGTCCACTACAAAAGACTCAGTAAATGACCACCATTTTACTGAGATTATATTTCATCCCATACCATCTCATCATTATCTTCATTACCCATCAAGTTATTCTGATGAATGGAATATGAAATGAAATCAAATGATTTTTTAATGAGCATAGAGTGAAAATCTCACTTAAATTAACAAAAAAATTGTGGGCCAATGTTATAATATGCATCCTGCATCCTTTATCAGATGTAAATTTCGTTCGATGTAAAATTCTTTTCCTTTACTATTCCGTTTCCTTACCTTTGTCTGTGGCAATACACAATGCATGATGCCATATAAAAAAAAAAACTAGATTACAGTGTGACCATATGTGGCAGGATCCTGCCATTTTGGCAAGATTGGACTCTTATTTTAGCTTCTGGCAGTTTTTGGCAGTATTGGGAATTGGGGCAAAGAAAATAAATTTCCTTATGGCAACACAATAAAATGTGAAAAATGACAACCCTGAAGATACTTCGTGACCATGTAGGGGTTTTCCCCATACTTCTCGTGCTATATTCGTATCACATTCAATTAACAACTTTGAAATTTTGCATAGAAAGTTGATAATCTTGAAACGAGTATTCATAAACACGAGTTTACGATTTATATTTCAATTTAATCAGTCATAGAGACATACTTATAGATAGATTCAATTCGATTTAAGGTGATAATATCTTGTTAGTGACATTTCTTGGGCGATACTTATGATTATTGGTGGTGGTGATGAAGCGAAAATATGAAAGAGCGTATGTGAAAATATGAACCTCTTGTATTTTTACTTTCTTGGTTTATTTCAACGGTTACTAAAGTTGGCATTAATTAAGTCGTCGTGGCCTAAAGGATAAGACGTCAGGTGCATTTGTGTTGAGCGATGCACCAGTGTTCGAATCTCGCTGGCGGGTACCAATTTTTCTAATGAAATATGTACTTAACAAATGTTCACGATTGACTTCCACGCTGAAGGAATAACATCGTGTAATAAAAATCAAACCCACAAAATTATAATTTGCGTAATTACTGGTGGTAGGACCTCTTGTGAGTCCGCGCGGGTAGGTACAACCGCCCTGCTTATTTTAGCCGTGAAGCAGTAATGCGTTTCGGTTTGAAGGGTGGGGCAGCCGTCGTAACTATACTTGAGACCTTAGAACTTATATCTCAAGGTGGGTGGCGCATTTACGTTGTAGATGTCTATGGGCTCCAGTAACCACTTAACACCAGGTCGTCTGTGAGCTCGTCCACCCATCTAAGAAATAAAAAAAAGGCCTTTTTTACTACAGACGTTGGCAGGATTTGGAAGGTTTTCAACTAAAGTAAGGCTGGATCTATAGTTTAGAGATGGTCACGATTAGGTACCTATGTAACTACCATAGATTATACACATTTGAGATATATATTAATTTGGTAGTTTTGGTACCTACCTACTCTGACTGATCCTCAGGTAAAATGGATGTTTTAGAAATTGATAATAGTTTTAAAGAATTTAAAACGATTGAGGAAGTTGAGTTAAAGCAATGCGAGGAGTGGAGTGTATCTGAAATGACACTGAAGGAAATAGAGTACAACACCTTTTTTGAACAATTTATGTTAAGAAATGTACCATGTATATTAAAAAATGTAAGTTTCAACTGGGAGTGTTCAAAGAAATGGATTCTTAGAAACCAAATTAATTATGAATATTTAATTGAGAGTTATGGCGATTTGGTGGTACCTGTTGCAGATTGTAATAAAATATCTTACAATTCACAATGCAAATGTGAAATGAAAATGAAAGACTTCATACACTATTTGCGCAAATCGGAGAGAACTCAACTATTATATCTTAAAGACTGGCATTTAAAAAACGTAAGGCCTACGGATAATTTCTATGAGGTACCTAAAGTTTTTGGACTCGACTGGCTTAATGAATACGCACAAGATAACAATGAAGACGATTTTAGATTTGTCTATATTGGACCACAAAATTCATGGTACTTAATTGACTTTAGGTGACTGAACCAAAATTTGTATTTTGTGGAATAACATCATACATACTATGTTTTTCAGGACACCTTTGCACTCTGATGTTTACTCTTCATATAGTTGGTCAGTTAATGTATTTGGAAGAAAAGAATGGACTTTGTTTCCCCCAGGTGAAGAACGAAAACTAAAAGATAGTTTGGGGAATTTACCCTTAATGTATAATGAAAAGTCATTTCCCAACATTCAGCATTTAAAAATAATCCAAGAAAGTGGTGATGCCATATTTGTTCCATCAGGATGGTACCATCAAGTTGTAAATTTGCAAGACACTATTTCAATAAATCACAACTGGATTAATAGTTGCAACATTGTATTCATGTGGAAATCTCTACATGAAAATTTGTTAACAATAGAAAATGAAATAGAACACCTAAAGGACACCCCAGAATTTCACGATCAATGTCAACTCATTCTTAAATCTCTTTTTGGTATTGACCTAGAAAGATTCAAAAAATTTATAATACATATTGCGCAAAAAAGACTGCATCAATTAGAAGAAAAATCACTCAAAAGTTTTGATAGATTTTCATTAGGGAAAAATCAAATTTTATTTGATTTAAATAAAATACATTTTGTTATGAATAAACTAAACCTAGAAAATTATAAGATTCACAATGATTTACTATCAATCATACAAAAAAAATTATTTAAGTAAACCAATCACCAAATTAATAAAATAATATCTATTTAACCTTTCATGATGCCTACAATAATGATTTTTTGTCTGCATAAACATGTCCACTCAAGATCAAGTCTTTAATTTGATTCTCACTATATCCTATTTCTCTTAATATGGTAATGGTATGCTCTCCATGCTTAGGCATTTTTTTACAACTACTGGAGATACCTTGAGTTCTTGAGAGTCTTGGTGCAGGTTGTGGAACAACATTGCCTTCATCATTCCTATAAAATGTATTATCAAAAGTGTGGTACTTTGTTTTATCAATCTCATCAAAATCTAGTACTGGAGTAACACATGCATCCAATTTATCAAATATTGCACACCATTCTTCTTGTGTTTTGGTGAGAAATACATCTTGAAATTTTTTTTTACAAATATCTTTATCTGTAAATTGTGAATACTCTTCCTCGGATAAATTCAATCCCTTCATGAGATTGGAATAAAATTGGGGTTCTAGGGCACCCACAGCCATATATTTTCCATCTTTTGTTTGATAAGTTTGATAAAAATGAAATCCTCCATCTAAAACATTGGATCCAGGTTCTCCTGACCAGATAGGTAAAGTTCTTGATTTAAACAACCAAGTTGAAATATAAGCTAGACCTTGAGTCATACTTGTATCTACAACCTGACCTTTTCCAGAAACACTTCTCTCTAACAAGGCTAACAATATGCCAAATGCACACAATAAACTTCCACCAGCAAAGTCGCCCAAAAGATTGATTGGAGGAAATGGAGGTTGATTATTTCTCCTTAATAATGATAAAATACCAGACACTGCGACGTAATTTATGTCGTGCCCAGCTTTCATTTTATTATAATTATTTTGACCATAACCAGTTAATCTAGCATAAATAAGCCGTGGGTTTTGTTCTAGAAGTTTTTCAGGGCCTAAACCCAACTTTTCCATCACACCAGGACGAAAAGTGTCTAAAAGTACATCAGATGAGTTTGAAAGCTGCTTGACAATGTCCACACCTTCCTTGGTTTTTAAATTAACTGCTAAAATCCTCTTTCCATTGGACATTACATCAAAAACCGTTCTTTGTATCTGTAAATTAAATTAACAAGAAATCACATTCTAAGTTGTTATTCATTATATCAGGTTATTTCTTTAAAAATAATAACTGACTTCGGAAGTAATAGGCTTAATATTGAATTAAAATACCTTTTCAATTACAGTAACACTCGCTCCAAAATCTGCTAGAATTGTGCCACACATAGGACCTGGAGCTAATCCCATGAACTCGAGAACTTTTATTCCTTTTAACGCCATATTTTCAAACAACTTTAAAATATTAGTTGACTTACAGTAGGTATTAAATATTGAATGATGAAAATCAAAACAGAGTGCTATCAAAGCGTAAACACTACGATTAGGTTTGTTTATATAAAGATTCAAACGCGATGAAAAGCACTTTTATCTGCTTTGTTTAAAAATGCACATAATTTATATGTACCTACTAAGAAATGCGCTTAGAAAGAGCAAAATCATTTAAAAACTAAACGAAATGGAAAATCTGTGCTGCAGCAGTCTTGCATACAGTTGTGAAAGTTTGATATTACATTTGATATTACATCACTCAATAAATTAAACACATAAATGCGAACTATTCAAGACTAAGTGTTTTTATGTGATTTAATTAAGTGTATTCTATTTGTGACAACCAGTAAATTATTTTCAACATTTTTTTCACAATTTATGACACCTTTTTGCCTACCTAAGCTGATAGCCCTAGCGGCTATATGACACCTAGCTAATTCGTGATTATCTTTATGTAATGGGGCAATAGGGATATCGAAAAAAAATTGCGGTGGCTTTACTACTTCGATTATCGTGATTGTAAGCAGTCTTTAATATTTCTACAAAGCGGTTTAAAATTTCCGAAAAGGTATAAAAAATAGTTATTATTTGAGTACTTGAAAACTGAATACTTTGAGTTTTAACAATAACTATAACGTATACATTGTCGCTGTTCTTTCCAGCAGGTCTGCTCTGCAGGTCTAATCGAGTTGAATCAAGTCCCTAAAGCTCGGGCCGTCGGCGCTCTTTAAGCAAACACTGCCAACGGTTTTTGTGGTATTTGTTAATGGCGATACACGTGCTGCGGCTTTTTGTGGTTGAACAGCTTAAAAACAATAACGATAAAAACGTCGCCTATATTAACTCGTGCAGCAAGTACAAGAGGAAAGTCCTTGTCGAATCGTTCATTTCGATATCAAGCGATGGTAATTCCTTCCTCCCCCAGCCCTATAACGGCCGGAGCTCCGCAAGAATCCGTATTTGCTCCACTCCTATTCAACATCTGCGGTCGTTGTGGACCCAATTAGCACCCTTCGTCAATAACAAGGCCGTCTATTACTTTAGCAGTAAGAAGCCTCTACTCACCAAGATGCATGCTATACAATGACGAAATTGTCCCTCCCGAAAAACCCCTTCTGAGTAGCGATGTCAAGGCACTACTCGGCATGGAGAATGCGGTTATAGTGGCAGAAGACTTTAATTATCATTACACTAGGTGGAACTGCCCAACAACGAACTTGAACGGTAGGCGACTTGACATGTTCAATAACAATCATGCCTTCGAAATCGTCGGCCCTCCAACTCCGACTCATTTCCTTTATAATTTCACTCATCGTCCGAGCACTATTGATCTGGCACTGCTGCAGAACTCTGCGCTTGCATTCTATCAAAGTAATGTCGGAGCTCAACTCCGACCACCAACCTATCGTAATGCAGCTCCGCCGTCCTTACACCCCCAAATACAGTCACGAGGACCATGGTGAATTGGCAGAAACCGAACAGCAGCTTGACAGACGCCTCCCCGCAATTCCTCGCTTACAGTCCGGATTGTTCCCCGTCCCCGCCGGACACCATCGAATCCATAGATATCTTGACTAATCACATGTCCACCGCGATAGCTAATGCGTCTCACCAAGTCAATTTGGAGGATTTCTTTCATCGCATCAGACTTCCCCCTGAGCTCAGGAATCTCCTAAGAGATAGAAACGCGTCAATCTGGGCCTACATTCGTTATCCCACCGAATCAAACCGGATTCGGATGCGTCATCTACAGCGGGATGTCAAATATCGCTTATGAAGCTCGAAATATAAGGTGGGAACGTAATTTAGAAGAACTCGCGCCCTCTCACCAAGCACACTGGCGACTAGCTAGGATTCTCGAATCGGAAACTATCGCCATTATGCCTACTACGCCCATCAAGCCAACCCACGGCCGATGCACTGCAGGAGCAGTACACCTCCGGTGCTCGAGCCGTGGACCCCGAAGACACAGAGTTAGTCGACAGGGAGGTAAAGTGCAGAGCTATCCAGTCACCTTCGGACGCTTTAACACCCATTACCGCGGTGTGGAAATAAGCGGACTTTATCGGCATACACAAACCTGGAAAACCTAAAAATGATTCCGCGAGTTACCACCTGATCAGCTTCCTCCCAGTATTAGGCAAATTACACGAGCGACTATTACGTAATCGCTTTTGGGACTTCATCACCTCGAAAGGTATCCTGATCGACGAATAGATCGGATTCCGTGCGAAACATTCGTCCATTCAGCAAGTGCACCGCCTCGCGGAGGACATCTTAGTAGGGCTAAATAGATGCAGACCCGTCACCACGGGAGCCCTCTTCATCGATATCGTGAAGGCGTTCGACAAAGTCTGGCACAACGGCTTAATTTACGAATTGTTTAACATGGTCATGCCAGACAGTCTCGTGCTCATCGTACGAGACTTGTCTTAACTTGTCGAGACTTGAGTTGTCAAACCGTTCGTTTCAATATCGAGTCGAGGAAACTCGCTCTCTCCCGCGACATATCTCGGCCGGAGTCCCGTAAGGCTCCGTTCTCTCCCCGCTACTGTTTAGCCTGTTTATTGACGATACACCTCGGTCGCCCGCCCGATTTACACGAGTAGGAAGATGTCGTTCATGCATAGTAAACTCCAAATCGTGGCCACCAATTTAGGATAGTGGTTCCGGAAGTGGCACATTGGTGCATTGATATCAACCACACAAAAATCACAGCCGTGCTCTCCAAAAGGGGTCGTCCTCCCGAGACTACTGCTAGTATCTTATCACCAATTAGGCGCGGTAACTTCATTTCCGCTATTAAAATCCTTGGCCAGCCCATACCGTGGACTTCGAAAGCTAACTACTAAAGCGTCACTTTCGACAGGGGGATGACATTCGGGTCCCACATTAAGTCAGTACGCGACCGACCCGCGTTCTTCTACCCCATGACCTGCAAGCGAAGTAAAAATTGTGCCTTCATAACAAAGTATTACTCTACAAAACTTGCATACGTTCTGTCACGACCTATGCAAGTGTAGTGTTTGCTCACGCGGCCCGTACACACATTAACCCTTTCCATGTAATAAAACCCCGTTTCTTAAGGATAGCCGTCAGAGAACCGTAGCATATGAGGAACGTAGATCTTCACGATGACCTGAATCTAATACCGATTCGTAAGCATCTTACGGAAGCGCCAGAACGCTACTTCGTCAAAGCGGGGCGATCCGATAACCCTCTTATCGTGGCCGCCGCTAATTACTTATCCGACCGCGACTGGGCAACGCAAGGCGCCGTTGCCCGAAATATGTCTTTTCGGATCCCCCGGATTGACTCTCGGTACTTTTAGGACCCTGAAGCATCGGTCACAGAGCTCGTCGATTACGACGATGAGTTCGGGAGCTCACTTACCCGTCCGGGTGTAGCTGGAATAGCCTCTTAATATCCCAGTGAATAGTTAGGAGAGAAAAAAAGACGAAATTGTGAATGAAATGAAATTGATTTTGAGACAAAGGTTAAAGGCTTATTACACTGGCTAAATTTAGTCGACTGAATTCAGAAGCAAATTTAGAAGCTTCTGATTACACTGTTCTAAATTTAGTTACTAAATAAATTGTCACATGGTTTTTTTGTAGAACCCGACAAACTTCATCTTTCGATTTGTTTTCCGTAATAAGCATTTGTGCAATTTTACACAATGATAGTATATAGAATGAATCTTACGACATTAAAGAATAATGTTACTAACTCGTACGGACTCAAAACACGCCCTACCACAAGTAGCTTTTCTAAAAGTCTCAGCAAATTACTCCTATTTAGCCGACAAATTAATTTAATTAGTTTATTTTATTCAATTCTCTTTATACAATTTCAATCAAAAATAAAGATAATTCTTGCGTTATGATTTATTTTATTTTTCAGTGCTTTAGCTTTTGCATCTAACTTTCGTATAGCCTATGTTCCCTCTGCCCCTACTCTGCTATTAAACTCTTTGGTTTGTCCAATTTCTGAACAAATCAAACAAAAAATAAAATCAAGTAAATTAAAAATCTATGAATTTTCTACCTGAAGTGCTATGTAATAGAGGAATAATAGCAATATTTTAAATTACACAATGTCTGTAGCGTTTGCGGCACGAGGAAATCGTCCTCCTTTAAGTCCGGCACAAATACAAAAAATGTTGGATGAAAATGCTCATCTAATACAAACAATACAAGAATACCAAGCAAAAGGGCAAATAATGGAATGTCACCAATATCAGCAAATACTGCACAGGAACTTGGTTTATCTCGCATCTGTAGCTGACGCTAACCAAAATATACAGAGCATTTTACCGGTAACATTTTTTTATTACTTCATTAAGACATACATGGCATGGCCAACCTGGTGTTTAGCGGACTCCTTTAACATAACGAAGGCGTCACCCTTCAAACCGGAATGAACGTGGATTTTTGGACTTTATTTTCAGTGGAGACATTATTTAAAACAATAAAATTTATGTTTGTTTGAAATGGAAAAATTCTGATTAGTTGAGAGAAAGTGACAGAAAGGAATCAAATAAAGCAAAATAATCTATTAATTTTCATTATGTTAAACACTAGAGATGATTTGTGTATCTTGAAATTAGGATAATTAGTCTAGCTTGTTCACAAAGTAGTTCAATTTAGGTGCTGATACAACTTCTGGCAGCCTGTTCCATTCCATGATTATATGGTTTGGTTCATCAAAGGGCTTATCTGATGAGATATTCTACTTAAAAGTTATTTTGTACTGAAAGAATATATAGAATTAGTTGTTTTTTTTACTTTCAGCCTCCTCATCAATTAGCCACCGGAAATGTATCTCAATCTCCACCTATAAATCCCCCAACCAATGCAACTGATGCATCTGCTGGTGGTCAACAAGCCTACAGACAACCTTCAAGTGTTAGTTCAACACCAACAAGACCAACTCAATCATATGCTCAAAGACCTTATGGTCAAGGTCAATATCAAGGCCAGTATCAGAATGCACCTGGAGGGTACCCTCCACAAACGGGATATGGCTCTAATAATCAAGGATATGCTCCACCTAATCCATCCCAACCCCAAGGCTATCCTCCGAACTCTAATTATGGTCCACCAATTACAACAACTCCAAATAACTATCCACCATCTACTCATCCAGGATCTAACTATCCACCTTCTTCGTCTCAACAACCTTATGCACCACCTTCTGGTAGCCCAGTTTCAGCTGGTGCTCCATATCCTGTGCGTGGCTCATCTCAACCACCATACACTGGAAATTCCACATATCCTCCAGGTCAAGCTGGCTCAAATTATTCTAATGTTGGTGTAAGTACTTATAATTCAACTGCTCAACCACCACAACCATACCAGTCACAACCATTTCCAAATACAACTCCAACATCTGCATATAGTTCAACATCAACTTCTCAGCCTAACCGTTCTCCTCAACCCCCAAACAATTATTCTCAACAGAATCCTACAAGTTCCACTTATGGATCACCATCTGCCCAGTCACCAACCTATAATACTAGTCCCCATGGAAGTAGTGTCCTTACAACTGCCTCATCTGGTGGACAAACACCAAGTGGTCCTACTGGACAACAATATCAGGCTCCTTCACAACCATCACCTTATACACCTGTTACACAACCTTATTCAAACCCTTCCTCGCAACCTGGGAGTCCAGCTCCTTCAGTATCCACTGCTCCACCTCCTACTTCCTATGCTCAAACACCTCAAAATTATCCACCAGCTGGAGGTGCGTATCCACCGCATGCATATCAACAGGGATATCCACCAGCACAGTATCCACCCTCCCCTTATCCTTACACACGAGCACCCGCTCCTGGTGCTCCACCTCCTGGTAATCCACAACCGTACCCAGGTTATGGATTCCAACCTCCTGCCCAGCAATGATTTGCATATTTTTAAAACCTTATAATAAATATGCTTAGGTTTAAACCCCAAAACCTATTAAAGTGTACTTCTACATTCTAATAATTTGAAAATAAAATATAGTGAGTGATATTTTGTTTTAATTCAAAAATTTTACATACTACAATAACTAATTCGTTACAGTATCCTACTAAAATGAACAATTGAAATAATACAAGGATCAAAATTGATCAAATAACTTTATCAGCTCTTTGAATTCACTTAATGCAAAAATTTGGGGCTGTTTGATATCAATGATCATCACTATGTTACATCATCATTAATTTAAAGACTTGTGATTTTTGTAACAATTATATTTTTAAATCCATCGCGTGCTATCAAGGAACAGTCATTGAATTGGATTAATTAGAATAATTTGTAGATATGTTACAGTACTGAAAGTTATTAATTAGAAAAAATTTTGCATTATCAAAGTTGGTTTTATTGAACTAGGATTTATAACGGCCCACATGAGGGTAAAGTTACCGTCGTTAATGCCAACTCAGCGTAGCCAAGACTACCGCTCAGGACTCATAACAAACCACATTTGAACAAGAACTCTTCTTCAGGAAAATTATGCTGGGAGTTCATATAATGTCATGGTAGGTAGTAAAAAGTAGATGGTAGGATCACCTGAACCAAATATCTCACATTACGTACACCCCATGAAACATAAAAAAACCCAAAGGACCTGAAGTTGCATGTAGGCCTGGAGATTCTAGGCAAACCGAAAGTCATTTGTAGTCGTCGTGGCCTAAAGGATAAGACGTCCGGTGCATTCGTGTGTAGCGATGCACCGGTGTTCGAATCCCGCAAGCGGGTACCAATTTTTCTAATGAAATACGTACTCAACAAATGTTCACGATTGACTTCCACGGTGAAGGAATAACATCGTGTAATAAAAATCAAACCCGCAAAATTATAATTTGCGTAATCACTGGTGGTAGGACCTCTTGGAAGTCCGCACGGGTAGGTACCACCACCCCGCCTATTTCCGCCGTGAAGCAGTAATGCGTTTCGGTTCGAAGGGTGGGGTAGCCGTTGTAACTTTACTGAGACCTTAGAACTTATATCTCGAGGTGGGTGGCGCGTTTACGTTGTAGATGTCTATGGGCTCCAGTAACCACTTAACACCAGGTGGGCTGTGAGCTCGTCCACCCATTTAAGCAATAAAAAAAAAAAAACATTAACACGATTGTCAAGAAACCGAATGGAATTTCTCACGGAATAGATAAATAAGGTTGGAAAGGCCTTTGCTCTAATTTTGTATGAGAACCAGTGTCGCCGCTTCATCCCCACTATTTTAATTTCTACACATACACATACTGTGATTACAAGTATTTCGCACACAACAAAAACACCCACACATAAATCTCAGGACAGATATTCGTTCGCAAACTAGCACAAAACACCCGTAGGCATACACACTCACACACGCAAAAAGGCAATAAAAATGTTCATACACGCTAGTGCTTGATAAAATCGATATTCTTTATCGATAAATTATCTGATGAATGAATGGAGAAAATGAAACATGAAATAAATATTGAAAAAAAAAACTATTTTACTTTTATTAATTACAAATAGTCACTGTCGCTGGAATAAAACGTATTTGTTAAGCAGTTGGCGCTTGCTATTAATTGCGAATGAATTTTTCAAAACTAAGTGTATTCTGATTTTTTTTATGATAAAATCATTTTCAGTAAAATGTTTAGAGCAAATAGTACTCGTCTTTGTCTCCAGTTTCCTCTACCTGTCACGTCAATCCATTGTTCCCTGGCGTTAGGTTCTTTAGGAAACCTAAAATTTTTAATTTACTGCATAAGTCAAATAGCATTTTACTTAGATTTTAATACGTCTTAGACAATATAGTAAATACCCGTAAATTAGAGGTCTACATGTCCCTTTATATTATACCTTCACTTTAATTCAATGATAATAATTCAATAATAATAATACATATTTATTTTACTCAAAATACGTCTCACTAAGAATATACTAGGTATCATTAATTAAATATAAAATAATGCAAAAATTATCCATGTCAAATGTAAATATAGTCGAGAATTCTGTCGATGATTTTACCACATGGTCACCTCACTATCGACAAACTGCACGGCCAATCAGGGCAAAGGCCGAAATTTCAAAGATTGAAGTGTAGAGAACGCAATGCATGTAGTACATTGGAAGCTGACTTGGTCATTGCGTTCATTGGGCGAGTACACATCGCGCAATGTATGTCATTTATAACTTGTTGCAATAATATTGTTAATGTTTGGAATTTCATAATGCTCAGTATATTTTTATGTTTTAGACAAATAATATTGTAATTAAATGGTAATTTCGACTTACCGATCGAAAGATATACCTCCTCGCTCTATACTTGAGGTCTGATTTTTTGTTTTCCAAGTTATAATTGCACAACACGGCACTATAAAGCGGAGATCTGTTCGCCCAAGTATTCCGAAGCGCACTAAACGCGGTGAATGAAAGAATCGGTCGAGTTATGTTTGTTCTATCATAACTGTGGCACGCTTGCCCCGCCTACATTACCATTCCAACCTTATTTATCTATTCCGTGGAATTTCTCTATTGAGTTAAATGAAGTAGAAGGATGTTTCTCCATCTCTAATAATTAATTTCTATAATTACAGCAAAATGTCAGTTCATGTTCTTTTAGAAGTTGTGGCCTGTTAAGTAAAAATGTAGTATCTACTGGCAAAGTAATGATGATACTAGAAAAATAACTTAAAAGTCTATTGGCATCAACAAAACGGCTGAAAAACGGAATTCAATAATTTCCATATTTTGAACACTACGGGTGTTCGGTACTCGTAATATATCAACAGTTACTTAATCTTTAACAAACTTAAACTAAAGTAAAACGCAACTGATCTAACACTGGAAGATGGGCGTTGGAAATACTGGTAGTAGATGTAGAAGTAGGTAGTAGTAATGTCAAAAAAATATTATAATATGTACAGAGATCTCTAGATGGTATCACCAACAAATTCTTGAAAGATTGGAAAGATTCATTAGTCAATCATAATCACTAATAATAAGGAATAGAAAAACAATATAAATCAAAAAAGCATAGTTTGTAGATTTTCATTTATTATATTTCTTCATAATATGAAATTGTAGGTTCATCAAAAGGATGAATGGTGTCTTCAAAATACTCTTTTGGTACATCGTTCATAAAAGGCTGAGTAGGAAAAGGTGGTGCAGTTTTGTTTCTTTTTAATGGAAGCACAGTATCAAATAGATAACACATAGCTCCAGTTTCACCAGGTATTGCAACACCCAATGTCCAAATAACATTATATTTTGTATCAATACGGAGAATCTTAACACCACGCAGTGTTCTCCATCTGAAATAAATTAATAGATCTAATAATATTATTTTCGGATACAGACATCACTTTAGTGATAACAGACAATGGACAACTGTTAGGTACATGTTGTTCACACCAAAATTTGTGAGTTTGTATCTGAATCAATCGTATTGGAAACACCAATCACCATCAGGTCGCTCATGTGCTTGTCAGCCTAAAAAGGAAATAAGAAAACTCCGTTTGCTATAATTGAAGAATTATATGTCATAGCATTCAATAAATAATTTTATGGGGAATTACTTCTAGTTACAACATGTATGAGGTAAACACTTTTAAAAGTGTTGTTTTATTCTAATGGCTTTTAATTATATGCAAAACAGTGACAGTTGTGTAAAATATCCTGTGCAGTGTTCAAATACTCTTAATTTCATAGGTGATCACTATACTGGATATTGTTAAGGATCCCCTATACACTATTCCATTTTTCTCATTAACATCTAGTTTGAGATTAAAGTTATGATAGACATAAAAGGTATATTTGAGAATGTGCATCTTCACTATTGTTACTTTTTTTATTGCTTAGATGGGTAGACGAGTTCACAGCCCACCTGGTGTTAAGTGGTTACTGGAGCCCATAGACATCTACAATGTAATAGCGCCACCCACCTTGAGATATTTAGCAAATTCTAATTTTGCAGGTTTGATTTTATTAAACAATGTTATTTCTTCACAGTGAAAGTCAATCATGAACATTTGTTGAGTACATATTTCATTAGAAAAATTGGTACCCGCCTGGCATTTGCACACCGGTGCATCACTCAACACAAATGCACCGGACGTCTTATCCTTTAGGCCATGACAACTTCACTAAACTGAGAAGTCCTGAACTTATGACCTCCATAGGTTTTTATTTTTTTTGCGGAGAGGCTGAGCAAATATTTGACCTTTGTGGATCTTCAATTAGAGTAGTAATAAGTTTTGTTGTATTTACAGCACCATTTTACACAATTAGTATCCATCTTTGTATGTGTTAGTTTTAACATGTGAAAACAGTTTACCTGTTACCCATGTGTCCAGGCATTTTTGTTCCAGGCCAAACTCGTGCTTTTTCACCACCAGAACCAATATTACCAGGTCTTCTATGAGTTTTGGTGACTCCATGAGAAGCAGGCATACCCTTAAAACCCCACCTCTTCATCACTCCTTGAAAACCTCTATCCATACTAAAAAATACAAACTCTTAAAAATTAGTTCACATGGCTATCACAAGTAATTAAAAACCACTGAACTATGAAACAATATTTACAATTTTTTTTAAATTTACATGTTAAATTTAGGGGAAATTATACATTATACATTTTGTATTTAATAGTTTTCAAAGTTTAACAGCAGCTTGCTGTAAATAGTCAAATAAAGTTAAATATCACATAACGCTGGCAGAAATTAATGAGAGTAACAGATCACCATTAACAACACTACTAATGTAATAAAGTCATTTACGTTTTCGATCGAATGTCAATACAATCCCCAACTCTAAAATGAGTCGCATATAATGGAGTGCCATTTGGTAAAGCAGATTCTGGTGATACAACAAATCTGCAGAGGTGCCTTTTTGGCAGCATTCCAACACTGTCAAATATTCCACAGTAATCTTTGGTGACAACACTAGGGTCGATGTTTTCAGCACCAACTAATATACAGCCATACTTTTGTTTCTCTACCCATTTTACATTAGATTTTATCATAGGTTTGTATTCTTCCGGAGGTATATATTTGATAACATGATTGTCAACAACCTGTTGAAAAAGGAAACAGATAAATTATATTAAACTGACAAATGTGACCAAGTAAGATCTAACCTAGAGTAAGTTATATTGACTAAATTGCTTTAAAGTTAGCCACTAGGCCTAAGATATTGATTGAGTGACAGTCGCAAGGCAGCTTAAGCAGCTTCTCGTGATAAATTTCCTATTATAAGTTTGAAAATCTGTTATAAGTAGACAGGGCAGTACTTGTTGTAATGGAGAACATTCAGGATGAGGCAGTTTTGATTGATAGGTTGAATTGTGAAAATTAAGCTAAAATAACACTGTGTTTCAATATTAAAAAAAAAAAAAAGTTTAATTGCATTTTTTTAATTCATCGTCTGTTGAGCATCCGATTCCGGAGGGACCGATTATCATTTTAATTGTTTTAATTATTCAACAGGAGAAAGGTTAAGCTAATATACTGACCTGTAACAGAGTCGTGGATACCTTTTTACCATCTTTACACCATAATGGATAGTTTCCTATCTTTCGTGCAATAAGTCCCACTCTTTTTGTTTGAGGAGTCCATGTTACATTTTTTTTGACATCGTTTAAAATGGGAGAGGTCAATGCTTTTTTTTCTAATGCAGTCTGTGCCTCAAGTTTATCCTTTATCACTTCCTCCAAGAATTGTTTATTTTCTTTAGTTAGGTAGTCATCTGTCCACTAAAAGAATGTCGGTAAAATATAAGCATTTATTATGGTGTCAACTACAAAAATAACATTATTTATTAATTAATTTAATTATTATTTGTTACTCACCACTCTCTCTTTTGGGACATACCAATACGGTGGACGAAATCTAGGCTGCCGCGATGCACCACGAATATTACACGCCGCATTATCAAACCTGCAAAAAAAAACATCTAATTTAATACCTGTATTCCTCGACGCAAGAAATGTATGAATTTAAACATGATTTAAGCTTATTAAAACTAACCTCGATTTTTGTAAAGCACCCCATAATAATTTTAAACTATTTGGGAACATAGTGTTTTGACAATTTTTGGGCAAAATACTTAATTGCCCTTTCTTTTACTAATTTTAAAATTTATTTAACTTTTTCAAAATATTTTCTTGTATAGTCGGATTTTTTATTAGACGAAGTCAACTGACGTTTACTGTGTTGTCAGTTTTTGATGAAATAAAAATAGTGTTGTGACAAAGTGAACGATTGAAAAAACTCCTGAATTAATGAAATTGCCTGGATTGTCTAGTGAATAGTTGGTGTGCCGAATTGCCAATATCGGGTACGGGGTTCGAATTTTAGGCGTGCTTTGTACATACCNAGTGAACGATTGAAAAAACTCCTGAATTAATGAAATTGCCTGGATTGTCTAGTGAATAGTTGGTGTGCCGAATTGCCAATATCGGGTACGGGGTTCGAATTTTAGGCGTGCTTTGTACATACCAACGAGTTTTCGACGAAATATTATGTTCCTATAGTATCTACCTGTACTGAATACCGAGTGTTTTAAACATTAAGAAACACATTGCGAGGAAGCTTGTAAGACTGTCCTATTTCCAATACAGTTGAAATTATACAAAAATAACACAATAGTTGAAATTATAGACGTATAAAATATAACAATTATGGGTAGGTAATGAAAATAAAAAAAACTGATTGTAGTTACATACTACTAGTAACATATATTGGAGCACTTTAATACAATTTGATTGTAAAATATAAATAATATTTTTTATAGTTTGAAATTAATGATTAACTCTTCACACTCATTGTTCATACATGTGATTGAACGAGAACTGAACGCATCACTATTACTTTAAATATAGCAACATTATTTCACAAAGTGACATTAGCTACTGTCAGCTGGCTTCGTCTAATTAAAAATCCGACTATAGCACTGAAGTAGGAAACCTAAAGCAATTGTACGTATAGAACAATATGTCGTGTCCCTACTATATAGGTCTATGGACTATAGCACTGAAGTAGGAAACCTATGGAAATGAAACGTCAACCAAAAATTCGTGCCACTGTGACGTCATCTGGCCACAAAACATGGCGGTTTTAGTGCTGCCCAGAAGATTTTAATGTTAGTAGGTTTTATCGATAAACGTGCTTGGCTTATTTTATTTTAAATATTGTTGAGTATGAATGTATTTGTAGAATTTATACTTTAATAGGAAGTAAGTATATTGTTATGTGCAAAGATGATGTGATTTAGATATTATGTGAAATCTAAGACGAGTTCGTGCTTCAAATTTTCCAAGTAAACGATATGACGATTTTTAAAATTTGCTACACTGATTTTATAAAGTTGTCGTTTGCCGCAAAACTTATAGATATGGCATAGTACAGTGCCATCAGCCCATTTCTAGCATGCTGAATGTTATCGTATTTTGAGTACGTGTTCTTCTTAGACTATTACAATCTATTTTAATTGTTTTGCTGACTCTAAAGTCCGTAACCCACTACCGCAGCGCACCTCAAGGAAGGTGCACCGCACTACCGCACCGCACGCAAATTTTAAACCGCCTGATAAAAAAAACACCTACAGAACATTTATTCGTTAATGAAATTACAAACGTCATTCCTTGTGACTTATTGAAGTGAAACTTCCTTAGCGGCGTTGGAAAAAAATTTACCGTCACATTTTTCGGTTACGCGTCACATTTTTCCGTTACGCGCCATCTTTTTTGTATTCATGTCTATGATAATAAAATCCTTTTGTTTAAACTTTATCTAATTTAACTTTTTTGTATTCATGTCTATGATAATAAAATCCTTTTGTTTAAACTTTATCTAATTTAACTTTATTTAACCAATTTCTAGAAAGTTGCATGTAGATCATTTTTCGAAAAATAAGGCCATAAAGAAGTTTCACTTCTTACGTGTGTACACTAGTACACGCACACATTTATTTATATATATTTAACGAATTTACAATAGTGTTTTACTCACTGCGGAATAAAACTATTTTATTTAAATAGTTCCGAAAAGATTTTGTCGGTAGCCTTTTTCCCGAAATATCTAAACAGAATGTCTAAATATTTTGATGACATATTTTAAAGAGGTATTTATGATTAGTGTCATGATGAATAGATTCCGACCGAAAAATGGTGTCCGATATTTCGGATTCAAATATAATAAATGTATAATCTATCTTTCGGATGAGGGCTCCATAATGAATTTAAATATATATAGATAATAGTTTTGGGGCATCGACTTTCTTGAGATCCTATAAAATATGTTTTAATTATTATTTTTGTATGTTTTAAGCATGATAAAACTAGAAATTTTATATAAGCAATCATATTAAATCGATATCAAAGTCAATAAATAATGTACAACCCAAAACAGACGGCCGAACTGACGTGACAATGACATTTGGCGCGCTAAACATGGCGGATTTTCGGCCTCATTAGACAGAGACGGAGACATTTACGTATATTCATGTTTCATTTTATGTACGCACTGAAATATTGTTATATTGTTTTCCTGCGAGTTAAAGTGCTGAGTAAGAAGGAGATAGATATATGTTTATGTGTATGCCTTCAAAATGGGTGCTATTTATATAAGCAATTGTACGTATAGAACAATATGTCGTGTCCCTACTATATAGGTCTATGGACTATAGGCAGTAGTAGTAGTTTTATTTTTCTAATTGGAAAGGCAAAGGTATCATACCATACAGCCTAATCTTTTAATACCATATTTTTTATATTTGAAGAATGATATTACAAAATGAAATGAAGTTGATTAATATGAAACATGACATAAAATGAAATGAAATGAAAACGAAATGGAATGAAATGAAATGAGATCAGATGATATGGGATGAAATATAATCTCAGTAAAATGGTGGTCATTTACTGAGATTTTTTCAGTGGACTTTTTGGAGGATCCCGAGAAGTCACGTCCAGTGGCTTTGTTTCATTTTCCCACATTTGTGCACTTTCATAGATATTAAACAGTTAATAAGCCGCCGTTAATAAACCTGAAGAAACACTAAATCACTAAATAGACAAAATAAAACAAATCACACAACTTCACTCCTCGCGTTCCCGCCAAAAAGTCTAAGCTACTACTACTATGTATGTACTACATGCTTATGATAGGTACAGGTACGGTACATATTATAATGGACTTAACTTAAAAACACACTAAATAGTTTAGTACATAGATTATACACTTAATATATTTGAGGTTTAGTACATAGATTATACACTTGGTTTAGTAGATGTTTAAGTTTTTGGACGATGAAGTCGAATATGTACAGTTTGTTTATTTTCTTTTTGAAATGGCATTTCATCCAGTGTTCCCAAAACAACGGAGCCGGTATTTATTTGTCAGGACCAGGTCTAAAACCCGATAAGATTGTTTTGCCGGCTAGATATTTCTTCATCACGTTCAGTTCTGTGGATGAAGAGACGTAAGTTAAATTGTTTTACTATATTAAACAGTATTCAGAAAATGTGCCTAATTTGACATCATATTTTAATTTATAACCCACATTAACATGTTACAATTTATAGTGTCTCGTTTAAGATGCTATCGGTGCAATAGGTATATAAAACAGGTTATGTTTACGCACCTTGTTTGTTTACAGAGGCAAATAGAAAATCTAGTTATTACTCTGCATTTTTTCCGGAATAGCAATAGTGAGATACAAAATATAGTGTAATAAAATATAATAAAATCTAATAGTGAGGTACAGAATAGTGAGATACAAAATATTTTAGACTATAGATAATAATTATGTAAATTGAATTACATCTAAAAATTAATTAATTTTAGTCATTGCTTAGTTCGATAGACGAGCTCGCGGCCCACCTGGTGCTAAGTAGCCACCAGAGCCCATAGACATTACTCACCTTGAGACATAACTTCTAAGTACATTTTTACAAAACAGCTGCCCAACCCTTTGTTGAAACACATTACTGCTTCATGGCAGAAATAGGCAGCATGGTAGTGGATGCCCGTGCAGGCTCACAAGCTGCCCTACCACTAGTAAGTACCCAATATTGATTTTTTTGTGGGTTTTATTTATATTACACCATGGTATTTTTTGGATTTTTTTTTTATTTTTTTTATGGGTGGACGAGCTCACAGCCAACCTGGTGTTAAGTGATTACTAGAGCCCATAGACATCTACACAGTAAATGCACCACCCACCTTGAGATATAAGTTCTAAGGTTTCAAGTACAGTTACAACTGCTGCCCTGCCCTTTAAACTGAAACACATTACTGCTTTACGGCAGAAATAGGCATGGTGGTGGTACCTATCTGTGCGGACTCACAAGAGGTCCTACCATTAGTCAATTTCCTTCCAACCTCTGAAAGTGCCGTTTTCAATCAACATGTTACAGCAAAAAATAAGAAGCGCTGTGTATAGGTTTTGCCAAACCAGGCCACTCTCAATTACAAAAATAAATCTACATTCACATTTGAATTCTTAGATAAAAACTAATTACCCACCATTATGACTTAATAGACTTTAATAAATTTAAATCAGGTACACTTCAGATTGGGCAAGAAATGTCGCAGTTGAAATTAAAGGAAAAACTCAGAAAACCAACTACTGTAGAATCTGGGTAAATAAATTAGACAGAAAAGATGGGACCTTTATTGTCCGTTACAAAATATATGAAACATGTTTTAATTTGTCTATTAACATTTATTACAAAAGTAAGAATATTGAAGGGTCACCAGTCACATTCAAAGGTATACATTTAACATGTCCAAAATATCTAAAGTTGAGATATGATTTTTGGAACTATGGAATAACAAACAATAATAAACTTTAACTGTCATTTGTTATGCATTCCTAAGGACGAAATATGAGCTATTTTTGTTTCTAATTAAACTTTATTAACTCTAAATCTTTAAGAAATATGTGGATAGCATTGTAAATCTTGTTCAAATTGAAGTGAAAGTTATTGTAGTCATCCAATTACACAACAATCAACTATTTTCATACTAAAGTCACAATTTATAATAATTATAATTTCTTCTAGGTCCTATTCTACCAGACCAATGCAACTGTCCAACAAAAGATTTGACGTCATGGTTGACAGACTATGGCTGCAATAATGTACCTGAGCAAATTGTGAATGACCTTAAGGCATTTCAAGCTGTAAATATGACTGTAGAGGTAAAAAGAATTGTAGAGAAGTATCATCAACCGGAAAGCACAAGTTTTTGTCATTACATTATTAAAGGCAATGAAATATTCAGAAATTGCTATGGTCGACATGTGGGTTTTAATATGTTTGCTGACAATATTCTACTATCTCTAACTAGAAAAGTTAAATTGCCTGATGTAGAAATGGTCATAAACTTAGGTGATTGGCCATTAATAATAAAAAATACAGAACTGTTGCCAGTCTTCTCATGGTGTGGTAGCTCACAGACAATTGATATTCTTATGCCAACCTATGATATTACTGAGTCAACATTAGAGAACATGGGCAGGTAACAGTTTCTTTTTTATCAAGTCAATGTAAATTTTCAATAACATTTGTAACTCAAGGGTGTATGATTGTAGGGTCACTCTGGATATGCTGTCTGTCCAAGGAAATGTGGAACGACCGTGGTCACAACGTGAACCCCGAGCTATTTGGCGAGGTCGAGACTCTCGCTTAGAACGACTTAAACTTGTTGATATTGCTCGATCTCATCCAGATCTGTTTAATGTATCACTTACAAACTTTTTCTTTTTTCGTGAAAAAGAAGAGCAATATGGCCCAAAACAGCCCCACATATCGTTCTTTAAATTCTTTGATGTAAGTGATCTTCAATACCAAAGATCTTCAAATATATTTTTATGATGTGTAATACACGTAATTAAAACATATTAATGTTTCAGTATAAATACCTAATAAATGTGGATGGAACAGTAGCTGCTTATCGTTTCCCATATCTATTAGCTGGAGGAGGACTGGTTTTAAAACAAGACTCTGAATACTATGAACACTTTTACCAGCAACTTCGAGAATGGGAACATTATGTACCAGTTAAAAATGATTTGGGAGACTTAGTAGAAAAAGTTCAGTGGGCTCTCTCGAATGATGACAAAGCACACCAAATTGCAAGAAATGCAAGACAGTTTGCAAATGACCATTTACTTCCACAAAATATAATTTGCTATCATGCTGCTTTGATATCGGTAATGTAAAACATTTGTTATTTACTATCCATCTTTGACCTAATTTGATGGTCACACCTTAGGACTGGTCATTAAAGTAGATTGAGGAAGGTTAAATATAGGTGTCTCAAAGTTCGCCGGACCTATTGAAACCCCTATGCAATTCTATTGACAGTGTCAAGCACCAATAACGCTAACTAGGGATTTTAGGAGAGGCAACACATGTCACTAAGTTCAGATGGCTAGGCTACAGACTGGTTCCAGGGCTCGGGGTACTTGTCAATTGTTAACAGTCTCATTATGTTAAATGGTTACCAGTGTTGACAGACATATAGTATTGCAAAGTTTTTTTTCTATCTATAACGATATACTATAGACATCTACAAAGTAAATGCCGCCACGCACCTTGAGATATAAGTTCTAAGGTCTTAGTTTTTACAGTACAACGGCTGCCCCACCCTTCAAACCGTAAAAGGAGGTGATAAGATAATCTCAATACTCGCGTACGTATGATACAAATCCAGCGAACTAAAGAACTCTCCATACGCGTAGAGATTAAAGCATCCGGTCATGACTTACGCGAGTGTGGTTTTCGCTCACGCGGCCCGCACACACATAGACACCCTCCAATCTCTACAATCCCGCTTTTGCAGGTTAGCCGTCGGAGCTCCATGGTTTGTGAGGAACGTTGACCTACACGACGACCTGGGCCTCGAATCCATCCAGAAATACATGACGTCAGCGTCGGAACGGTACTTCGATAAGGCTATGCGTCATGATAATCGCCTTATCGTTGACGACGCTGACTACTCCCCGAATCCTGATCACGCAAGAGCCAGTCACCATCCATCTATCCATCCATCAGATCCAATACCTTTGCATTAGACGCCTTCAGCTCTAACACTAGGAGCAGGCTTAGGAACCCCGGTAATCGTACTCGAGTTCGACGTGCAACCTAACCCATGAATCAGCTCGCTGAGTTTCTCGTCGGATCTTCTCAGCCGAGCAGTTTGTATAAGTCCGTCATGGTTATGCCAGAATTTCAAAAAACTATGAAAAGCGAAAGCTTGATGCTTGTGCACGCTACCGTTTTCTAATCATGCTCTCTGTTCAGTGGACAAGTCGGCTTCGTCGACTACGAGTAGATATGCAACTGTAGACGTTTTAGTCTAAAGGCCTGTCCGCATAGTGATATTTCACCGCGAGGTTTTTATTCTCGCGTATTAAATTCCGCGCGTATTAAATCAACTAAACCTAAGTAACTGCACATCACTATATTGTTGATTTATTTTGTATTTTAGGAGTGGAGTAAACGAATTTCAAACAAAATTCAAGTCCAAAAAGGTATGACACATGTACCACAGTTAGAATTTGCGTGCGATTGCAGTAACACTGAAGAAGAGATTCACGATGAATTGTGAAACAGTTTTTGAAACACCAAATGGAACCAAACCATATGCATATATTCATATATCACTAAATTGTTAATAAAAATCTCAACTGGAA